CTGGGGAGTGTGGATTATGACACCAAATCCCTGCACTGCCCTTGTTTCTACTCCTCTCTGAGCGATGCCTCAGAGGGCCAGGAGGGGGACAGCAAGAGACGCCCACAGAGCATCTGAACTAGGTGGGCTGTGGGAAGCTTTTCCTGACCCATGTTGGGACCACAGGCCCAGACTTTCGAAATAACTCCGAAAAGTTGAGGATGGCATTGAGATCAGAACTTGGGGAGGGTCCCCATTGCCAGAGCAGGGCTCTGTGTCTTTTTCCACTTACACTGGGCTGTATGTTTAGGTGTCAGCAGGATCTTGGTTGAAGTCTGTGCTAGCATTCGTGGTTTTAGAGACGTCACTAAATCAGCCGGTGTGTCTCTGCAGGGCTGTGGAGAACCTGGCTGGCTCTCCCTGCGCTCCATCCTGCTGGGGCAGTAAAGTGAGTTTGGAGTAGGCATCATCCCGCGGGGTGCTAGGGGAGAGGTGTTTCGAGGTCTCCTCGCCGTCTGCTTCCTTTGCCCTGCATCTGGTCACTGCTTTGCTACCCTTCTCGTCAAGGGTGTTCAGCCTTTGTGGTGCCCTGACCCAAGTCTTAAGCTCCTGTGCAGAAGGCGGGGGAGGCAAGGGATCCTTGCGTCCTGGATCCTTGTGTCCAGGGCCTGGCCGTGACCTGAGGGTGCCGTGACCTATCAGGAAGGCCTGAAGTGGGATCTTGATAACGGCCGCTTCTGCTTTCTGCTCCTGTTACCACCTCTGTTCTTGAGGGGGAAATCCTTGCAGAGGGCTGTGGTTGGAGCTGGGCTGAAGGCCGGCAGGGGTGGGTCTCTCCATGGCAGTAGCACACAGGCAGGCAGGAAGTGGCCCTGTGCAAAAGCGGGAAGTGGCTGTTGTCAGACAGGAAGAGGGGGCTGGGCCGTGTGAGGGGGTGGGGACGAGCCCGGTCGAAAGGTGGGTGGGAAGAGGGTCAGCCTTGAAGAAGGTCTGGGCTGTTCTCTAGGAACACAGCTCAGTGGTCACTGAAAGGAGGGGTGTCTCAAGGGAGAAGGCCGCCTTCATGACGGGAGCACTGGCTGATGTGTTATGTTAGCACCTTGGGATGTCAAGCCAGGGCCTGGACCTACCACTGGGAACCAGGCCAGGTCAGTGGCCTTAGCCCTTCGGGACTTGGGGATGCTGAGTCTCGGACTTCCCTGGTAGCTCAGTTGATAAAGAATCCGCCTACAATGTGGGAGACCTGGATTTGATCCCTGCATTGGGAAGATCCCCTGGTGGAGGACATGGCAACCCACTCCAGTATTCTTGCCTGGAGAATCTCCATGGACAGAGGAGCCTGGTGGGCTGCAGTCCATGGGGTCCAAAAGAGTCAGACACGACTGAGCGACTAAGCGCAGCACAGCACAGCATGCTGAGTTTATAGGGCAAACCCTGCAGCTGGAAAAGATGCTCTGCAAACCTGACTTGTTTGAAACATTGAAACATTGCTGCTGCTTGGACAGAGCCTGTGCTTCTTCCCAGACACACAGTGGGCAACAGGACAGGAAGTGAGGGGAAAGGGATGGGAGACAGCAGCTGCAGAGGTTGGGGTGCTGGCCGGCTGAGCGAGGATCGTCGTGAGGAGGCAGGGAGAGCGTGGTAGGCAGAAACCACATGGCTCATTGAGCAGAGTTTCAGGATGGCAGGGCGCCACAGCCCATAAGGCTAGGGCCGAGGACGACCAGGGCTCCCACAGACAGTGGCTTTAACTGGGCTGTCCTCTCTCGGAGGTTACCCCACTGGTAACCTTCCCCTGCAGGCTGCAGACACCAGTGGGCCCCACCCAAATGGGAGGCTGTGATGGAGCCAGGTTGAGGGCTTCGTTAGTGTTCCAAGACCCTGTGACTGCCCAAGCTGATGGAGAGTGGGTCCAACTCTCTTGTGTCTCTGCTGATGGCCGTGGGCACAAGCCCAGCCTGGGAGACTTCATCTGTCTTACTGCTGGACCCTTGGAAAGGAGGCTCTCCCTGAGTGCCAGGCACTGTGCAGAGCGTTTACCCAAATACATCATTTAAGCCACAGATATCCCTGCCTTCATTTTAGAAGTGAGGAAACTTTTTCCCAAGCTATGTACCCGGCTCACTCTGTCACCTCCGTTCTATCACATGCCACCTCCATGCCGAGGCTGTCCTTGACCATGTGGTTTAAGTGTGCACTCTCCCACTCCCCTGCTTCATTTTCTTTATTGTACTTGCCATGACATCTAACATGCCATCCAATTCTTACGGTCTGTCCCCCGACCAAGCTCCACTAGGATATCAGCTTGATGAGGGTGGGGACTGTTGTCCGTTCTGTTCACTGCTGCATCCCCAGCATCTGGAATAGCACCTGTTGCATAGTAGGCCTCAGTAAGTATTTTCTGAATGAATAAATGAGACTCAGATGGGTTTGGAACTTGCAGCTCTAGGACTCCATCTGGGGCTGTGTGACTCAGAACCAGTGGGTTACTGGCCAGACTCCATGGCTGAGGGTCACAGCAAGGACCACGGCACAGCCTGGGGTTCAGAGGAGGCTTGTGCAGGATGTGGTACGCAGCTCCGTGGAGTTAGGGTCAAACTGTATGACTATCTAGGACCCTCTGGACCCTGGGCAGCTCCTTCGAGGAGCTGGGAGTGTGATTGTCTCTTCTCTTCCCACTCTGAGTCACTGATAAAGCCAGAGCTCTCTTATTTTTAGTGCCGTTGCTGTTGTGGAACTGTAACCATTAGCCAGTAAGAGGCTTAAGGGAGGAGATAAACATTAATCTTCTGGGCCTTCCCCTCAGCTGCCACCTCCGCATCGCAGGATACTGCTCCCCTGCACCTGGCTGGGCAGCCGAGCCCGAGAGTTGCGGGTTGGAGGGTGTGAGGTGAGTGGTGAGAGAGAGGGCCGGGGGGTCCTCAGCTTTAGTGTGCCTTGCTTGGTATCACTACCCCACGACCAGGCGTGGGGAGGAAGGTGGGGTCGCCCTGGCATCCCCCAGTCAGGTCTGGAAGAAGCAAGCCGCCTGTCACCAGGCAAGGCTAGTGCAGCTTCCTCAACTGCACTGCCTTCCGGAGGTCCTGGCCCCAAGGGGTCGCAGGCAGTGTGGGATTACCTGGGGCTTTCCTGGCTGCATCCTGGTCAGTCTTCATACCGAACTCGAGGATGGGACAGAAGGCCTGACCCAGATCTGTGGGCAGCTGGGATAGATTAGCTGGGCAGCAGGAACTAATCTCTGCCTGTCCTTACCTCCTTCTTCCACAGAGCAGAGCCATCCCTAGACGGAACGTTTAGGACAGAGCTGAGGGTGAGACAGTAATATGAGCTCCTTCTTGTCTGTACATTATCTCAGGCAGGCCTGGGTTTGAATTCGCACTTCTCTCCCATTCCCGCTGTAGGACCTTGGGTGACTTACTTAATTTCTCTGGGCCTGTTTTGTCATCTGTGAAATGCGGACAGTCAGTGCACCTGCCTGGTAGGATGGTTGTGAGGGTCACGGGAGGCTTTACAGAGGCTCTTTGCTGTTTAGGTAGAGGTGGGGTGGGCACAAGCCCCTACCAAGGGACACAGGAATCACTTGGCGGGTATGGAAGGGACAGTGCCTGCCTGGACCTGTAGGAGTTGGGGTGAACTGGACTGTGCCCCTAAAGCCTGGAGTCTTGACTTGATGCTTTCATTTTTCCTGATCCTGTCATCTTAGCATAGCAATGGAGAAAGAGGGCTCTGGGCTCAGACCACCTGCATCTGGTGCCTGTTGGTGTGACCTTGGGCAGGTTACTTGAAACTTTTAAGCCTCAGTTTCCTCCTTTGCAATGTAACTGAGCTAATCAGGTCCTCCGTTTCACTGGGTTTCTGTGAGGATGAAATAAGATTGTGCCTCTGCCCAGCGTATAGTAAATACTTAATAAAGAATAGTTTTTACTAGTACTGTCAATGTTATTGATAAACCATTATTAAGCCTCTGATATGGAAGGAACTCTAGAAAGCATCACACAGAGAGGTGCCACTCTGAAGAGTCTGTGACCGAAAGATAAGTGATTTAAGTGTGTGATGTGAGAATTTATAAGAGGTGATGTGGGAGACAGGGCTGGGTCACGGGGAGAGAAGTCACAGTCTGCTGGGAGGAACAGGGAAGACTTTGCGAAGGAGGTGGCTTTGGTGGAGTTCGGCAAGTAGAGATGGGGGTAGAGTGGCTGGGGCTGCTCGGCTACCTTGTTTTAAGCAGTAGCAGCCTCTCTTTCTGCTGCCTGGAGCTCTGCCTTCCTCTAGAAGGAATCAACTACCACATCTTGCTTAGATTTGTGGGCTCTTGGATTCTGGTCATTTCACCAAAGCAGCGTAGCCCTAGAACCTGCGTGGCAATAGGTCAGAGCTCCCAGCAGTGGGCAGCCAAGCGGGTCCTGGGGAGAAGCAGGATTTCTGCAAAATGGGCATCGTAATACTACCAACCTCCAAGAGTTGTTTTGAGACTAAATTAAAAGATGTGTTTGCCTGGTGTAGAAGTAAGCACTCAATAAACATTATCTTTTTTTTTTTTTTTAATTATCATCAGTCTCCATTGTCAGCATGATTATGTTTCAGGATTGCCATGAAGACTGCATTAGAGAATATATGCAAAACTCCTAGCACAGTGTATGTTTGTGTAGTAGGTGTTCAATAAAACTTAGCCATTATTAGTATTTTCAACAATGAACAGATTCTGGACATCCTGGCCCAGTGAAATCCCTGCTGTGGTGGAAAGAACACCAGAGTTTTAGTTTAAGACTTGGATTCAAATCCTGGCTCTGCCACTCACTAGCTTGGGAAGCTTTCCTAAGACACTGCTTCAGGGGAAAAGGTTGTCATTAATACCTGTCTTCAGAATTGATGTGACCTACTATGTTAATTCAGCAAATTGTTTAAAAAACGAAGAGGGGGGGGCATTGTAGGTGCCTAAGAATTGAAGGCATATGAATAGGCAAGTGGCCACAAATAGAATGGATGTCTGATAGCTTTTGTTTTCTCTCTTCCACTTTTAGATCACCAGAAACTAGAACGTGAGGCCCGGATATGCCGACTTCTGAAACATCCAAACATTGGTAAGTGCCCTTAAATAGAGCATGTCTTGGGCATTTTGTAGAAGGTGGAGAGAACAGAGATCCACTGTTTTTGTGTGGGGAGCCACTTCTGTCCCTGGGCGTCTGCCTGGTGTCTTTTTTTACCCAGGCAGGATCGCAGCTCAGAATTCTGGGGTGTTCTAGTTTAGAGACCTGAATGTCTCCCTTCCTGTGTGCCATCTCAGGGCTGGGAGTGAGGTATCAGAATATGTTTCAGGCTCCCTTTCTTCCCCTCTCCTTCCGTCTTTGGGCTGAGGTCCAGGTCTTCGGCGTGTGAGGCTCGGGGAGTAGCCTGCCAGCATCCCTCACTAGGGGCCTTCCACAGCCGTCATAAAAGGGTCCACACTTTGTTTCTGGACTTGAAAGAGTTTTGTTCCTTGTTGCGGTATCGTGCGCACTCTGGGGGTTTCCATGGTACTCCCGTTTGTATTCCCCGGAGCCAGGAGAGCAAGCTGCCCACCCGCCTGGCTTCCCTGAAGAAGGGGTGGTAGGAGCCAGTCAGCCGGAGAAGGAGAAAAAATTAAGAGGATTTCTCCCTGCTCCCACCCTGACTCGGGGGACAAGAGCACATTGTTGGTTGTTCTAAAGCCTGAGGAGGTTTGCCTGCCACAACCCACTCTGGCTCAGTTTTACATTGTTCAGCTGAAGTAGTCTTTGCCAAAAGCGTTGGCCCCGATTTGGTGCTTCTCTCGGAGGGGACAGGAACTGGGCTGGCTTCAGCGTCTGAGCAGAAACCCCAGGCTTGACTTGAGGTAGAAAAGCAGGGGACATCTCCTTGGTTTTCCCTGAAAGCTCCAATTAGCACAAAGGACAGTGAGTTTCTGTGCTTCCCAGGCACGGCCTAAATATTAGGGGTGCTCCAGAGGCTGCCCACTCTGCTGGGCTGGTGGCTGGCACTGAGGTGACTTGCTGAAGTTCAGTGCTCCCTCCCGAGCTATTCAGCCTCCAGCTTCACAGACCCAGGACTGGGATTTTCACCATGAGCTCTGACACGGGAGAGTGGGGTCGTACTCCAGCCCGAGGGGAAGGGAGCTTTGAGGTGACCAGAACTGAGGCCATGCACGGCTTTGTAGATGGCAATCAGCAGCTTGGCTTACACGCGACACAGATTGGCGTAGCTGGTGCTCAGTTCTGCCTGGTGCGGTCTTCCACGAAGCCGGCACCTCTCAGCCCACGAGTCCTGGGCTGGGAACCCCTGCCCTCTCTGAAGTACAACCCTCACCTGGAAACAGCATGGTGGGGACCAAATTGTCACCTTGGGTAGGAGAGAAACGACGAGAGGAACAGCTAAAACAGCAGTCACCAACTCAGGCATGTTTTGTTTGGCTGGCTTAGTGGTTTAAAAATATTTTTATTATTTGCCAGTATTTTAAAATGAGATTTCACATTTTGAAAAAAAAAATCTATTTCCCAATCTTTCAAATCAGAAGATTTGGCTTCGCCGAGCCCACATCCATGCATGGCCAGAATCAGCTGGACCTGGGCAGTGACTGCCCCCTTAGCCTGCTGGCCACTGTCTATACTGTTAAGTTAACTTTCTACTGCCTACCTGGTACCTCTAGGCTTTATGAGCTTGTCACTCTGAGCTAGCAGTGCCAGAACAGGAGGAAAAAAGCGGGTGGGTGACTAAAGCCATCCACAAGCACAGAAGCGTTTTGGTGTTCCAGTCCCAGGTCTCAGGGTCTGAGGACAACAACTTCCTTTCTTTACCTCCCAAGTGAACAACTCACAGAGCAATGATGAACTGCCCCCCCCTGGAGGGAGGGGACAACAAAGGGTGGGGTTGATGGTGCAAGAGGTGGAACCGCGTCCTTGTTACCTGCAACATGGGCGTGGCTGACCACAGAAGGGTCAGGGTAGGGTAAAGACAATTGAGAATCAACCCGGAAGTACAGAACTGGAATTCTAGCTGGAAAATACTCCAGCCTGCTTTTTCTGTGCTTTCAAAAATTAGATATACACTTTTGAACCTTTTAGACTTGACTTGGTTTGGTAGCCCTTTTTGCTTTAACCACCAGTCCCCAGTGCAGAATCAAGGCAGATGGAGGGACTGTCTCCCCCAGCCATCTGCTCTGTTAGGGAGACAGCAGGACCCAGGGAAGGCCAGGCAAGGCCCTCTCCCTTTGTCAGCATCTCATTGCCTGGAACTGTGCTTCCATTTCATGATTGCTCCCAGACCCTAGGGGCATTGGTCTGAGGCCCTGTTTTGGGGTCAAGGGAAGGGAGAGGAAAGGGTGAGTAGTCAGGACCATGTCCTGGGAGAACGATTTGGCCAGGCTGTCCATCCTCTGGTGGGAACCAGGACTCCTAGAGATGAGGGGGAGCTGTGGGTCCAGGAGATGGGGGTTGCCATGGATCTTGACCTGGCTTGTGGCAGAAGAGGAGCCCGTTTTGTCCCCTTAATTCGCTATTCCTCTTCTCTCTCCACTGCTCCATCCTTCAGAGCGGTGGCCCTTTTGGCTTTAGCTTCTAACTCCATCCCACAGGGATACCAGTGGACCAGCCCAAGAGTGGTGCAGAGTTGAGGAAGCAGAGAGCACGTGGTCCACCCCTGATCATTGTCAGACTCACCGGCACTTGCATTCCGAAGGGTATCTGGTGCAAGGAGCCAGGCACCCCCAGTTTTTTACCTTGATAGATACTCCACCCCAGGAGTTGAAAGCCTGTTGGAAGAGTAACCTGTAATGTAAACCATGGTGTCTGGGTGATAATGCTGTGTCAGTGTAGGTTCATCAGTGGTGATGGGCGTGCTTCTTTTGTGGAGGTGTTGACAGTGGGCGAGGCTGTGCGTGCGTGGGGACAGCGGGCAGGTGCGAGCTCCTGTGCTTTCCTCTCAGTTTTGCTATGAACCCAAAATTGCTTTAAAAGATAAAGTCTTTTTTTTTTAAGCCTGTTGGTTTTGAGGCATAGTGTAGAACCTAAAACAGCCCTGGGAGAGTGGCCAGAGGTGCAGAGTTGAGAGGAGGAAACGGCAGTAGTGCTGATCGTCTAGAGTCTGAATGAAGTGTCTTCTACCTGTGATCTGCTTGCTCCCTGCTCTGAATTCCTCTAATGAATAGACTCTGTCTTCCTTCGTGCTGAGCTGCCCCAGCAGTTTCGATCACAGCCTAGCACTGTGGTTTAGAGCAGAACTTGTCAAACTTTCATGTGCTTGTGAATCACCTAGGGATCGTGTTAAAATTCAGATTCTGATTCAGTAGGTCTGGGGTGGACCTGAGCTTCCCCGAGTCTCCAGAAGCTCATGCTGCTGGTTCAGCATAAGGAGAAGCAAAGGTCTGTGGCCTTGGTGTCCAGTCCTCGAGGTCTGGATCTGGGATTTGCTGGGCAGCTGTGACCTCTGGCCCACGATTTTACTTACCTGTGCCTCCGTTTTGTCATCTGTGCCTCTTAACAGAGTTGTTCTGAGAAGGTTGAGCAAGTGAATGAGGCCTAGGAAATCAATGGAGGTGATAAAACTGGAGATTTCAGCTCCCAGAAGTAGTCCCTCCAGCCCCAACTCAGTTCCCACATGTTATTCAAGCCTGGCTGCCTTTTACCTTGGGCCCAGGCCACACAGCTAATAAATAGTAAGTGTAGCAATAACAGTTGCAAAGAAAGAGATGGAAACATTGGAGCATAAGTGAGCAGCTCCCAGATCCATGCCCACCTGCTCCTTCCTGGAGGGCAGCCTGCATTCCCTCACCAGCCCCTGGGATGACAGGACCTCCTCCCCTGCCTTGTTATTTCCATGGACATGAACAGTGATACTTTGTCAGTGCTTTTTTGACCAAAGTTTGTTAGTTAAAATGTGGCATACTGTCTGGTGGTTTTTAAAGAATTGGAAATAGCCACAAGATTTGGGTTGTGGCTTTGTCAGTACTTGAAGGTATGAGACACTGAGTGTGTTTTTTTTGGCCTGTTCTTCCTTCCACAGTTTGTAAAGAACAATAACTAGGTTTACGACTGTAATGCAGCAAATGCTTCGTGCTTCTTTTCCCAGATCTTCCTGTCTAAGGTTGGTCTGGTTCTCCTTGCCCTCCGTACCCTCTCATGACTGTGGAATGGCCTGGGTATTGGATTTTTTCCCCCACACATCCTTTACTTCTTCCCGACAGCCCCTAATGCTTGGTTATGTATTTGTATAAGTGCTTCTTTAAAGCCCGTCCCCCCAGAGGCTGCTGGGTTTCTCTTGTTCACAGCTGTGTCCATGGCGTGTCCAGCCACGCCTGCTTCAGGGAGGGTGCCACATGGACATCGTTGAGCAAGTCAGAATGGCCAGGGCTAATAGGGACAGGTTAGAGCTCCTTTGCCCAAGAGGATGGAGAAAGTGACTCCCTCCGGGCAGTTCTACAAAATCAGGGATCTTGATATTGGCCTGCTTTGGCCTCAAGATTCAGCTCTGCCACTCAGTGTAACTTTGGGTGAGTTTCTTTTGGAGCCTCTGTTTCCTGTCCTGTTACACAGACGTAAATAGAAGTACCTACCCCACAGAGCTAATGCAAGGGTTCAATCAAATAACATGTGTAAAGCACTTGGCATAATGCCTGGCATATTGAAACAGCTCAACTAAGTGTTAGGTATTATAATTTGGATCTTTATTATCGAGAATCTGCTAGGTTGGCACTTAGAGCAGTGCAATCAAGTTTCTCTTGTTCTTAGTCCCCTGTTCATTTTCTTTACAAATGGAAAAAGAAAGATAGCAGTCTTGCTCAGTGATGGAGCCTTCCACACCTGTCCCTCCTTGCCTTGGCGGTGCCTGGCCCTGAGACACTCATCAAAGCGGAGCTCTGGGCTGGGTGGCCTGGGAGGACTTGTCTTCCCTCGCATCTCTGCTCATCTGATTCCCCTCCCAGTTTCCTCACACCTGAACTCTGTGTGTGGTCTTCCTGGTGAAGGGCAAGTGCCAATGACTCCCTGTCTGGGCAGAGGCATGGGTGCCTGCCCTTTTTGCCCTGTTGGGCTCGGGGCTGGGGGTGGAGGGCGCGGGGGGTGTGGGTCTGGGATTAGGATAGCCAGGTGCCAGGACTCCCCTGGGAATCACTATTAGCATCGTACCTGCTGCCCTGTTAGTGCCTCCTCCTGCTGCTGTTAGTCACCTCCCTAATGAAGCTGGTCTTTAGCTTCTGGGACAGCTGATTTCCAGGGGATTATTTGTATTACACACTTTAATGCTTTTTAATAGCAAATTTTTAATTAAATGGAAAGTCCTTTTGGAAGCGAGGGAGCAGCAGCTGCAGCAGGGCTCAGCGTGAGACGCCCATTCCGGCCAGAGAAGCACAAGTCAGGGACGAGGGTGGCACGGCTTTGGGGGAACTCGGCTTTGAGGGAGCTCGCCTGAGCATGCCTGGGTTACTGAGGGTAGGGGGGAGGCAGCGGTCTGGCTGTAGCTTCTTCATTCTGTCACCCACAGGCCTCGAGAAGTATGAGCTTGTTCGCCCAAGTACAGGAGAGAATCAGTTGAGGAAGAGGGATTTTAGGAGTACTACCCGCCTTTGATTCTGTTGGTAAATTGCAGAAGTACTGAGTTCTGGTGGAATTTTGAGGTTGAGTAACCAGATCAGATCTAATAAGGTCGGCAGTATGAAGCATAAACAATTGCTGGGCCCTGGTTCTCGCCCTGGCAGGCCTCATTTGTCTAGTGAGGAAAAGCACAGGGCTCCAGCGATGGCTGAGGGCCTGGATTTTACATTCAGCTCATCTTGCTTTGGGGGAAAGGGGAGGTAGGGAAGTGCCTCAGTCCTGAGGAGACGCCCTCACACTGGAAACGGAAGGTATCATTCGAGCTGGTAGGGGCCTGACACAGAAGAGATTTCTTTGTATCTGAGAACTTCACTGGTTGGTTTGGTGTCAGGCCATTCCTGAAGTGCTCAGTGAGGAGCTCTTGGAACTGCGTGAAGGTCAAACAGAGGGAGCCCTCTGGGACACAGGCTCTCCATCAGGCGAGTGCAGGTGAGGGAAGGGACCTGAGGGGGAGGGTCGGTCAAAGCAGAGGTGCGTTTGCATTAGAATGACGCTGAGGGGGGCTGTTGGCATTTAACCGCCTGAGGTGGCTTTGTGGGCAGAAGCCTGAAGCGGAGACCTGAGCAGCATCAGGTTGGGCTCTTGCCCAAGAGCTCTGGAGGCTGTGAGTGGGAAGAGAGTCTGCTCACCAGCCTTTTCTTTCGCCTCTACTGCAGCTCCATGCAGTAGCCTCCCGTACCCATCTTGTGGGCACATTCGTGAGCGGTTTCTCTCCAGGCTCCACTGCTTTGTCGCCTGGGTGTGTGGGATCCTCCACATTTCTTGGAGGAAACACTGGTATAAACCAGTATTCGGAGTCAGAAAGAGCTGGGTTCACATCTGGACCCACCAGATCTTTGGCCTTTGGCAAGAAACTCTATGCCTTTGAGCCTCCATTGTCCTCATCTGTGGAATGGGAGTAATACTTATCTCGGAGTGGTCATCAGGAATAATAAACTCCTTGAAGTAGACACTATGTCCTTCCTAAATCCTACCATCTGCCACACACAGTCAGCAGTTGATACATACTTGTAGCTTAAGTAATGTACCCAAAGAGCCTAACTCAAGGCCTGGCACGTAGTCCGCACTTAATAAATGGTTATTGTCGTTGCCTGAATCTGTGTGTTGCCTGCTGGGCTCTGCCTTTCCCACTTCTTCCCCTCCCCCTAACTCTTCTGCTCCCATTTACTCTAGGGTCTCCCATCTTGTCATCCTCTGTCCCTCTGCGGTCTGCATCCCTAGGTGCTTCTCACTCTGCACTGCACCCTCACACATCACCCTCACACATCACATCCCAGGACCACCTTCTCTGGGACCAGCCGCTCTCAGAAGAAGGTTCCTGCTTTTTTCTGTCTTGCCTTCCTTCTTAGCCACAAAGCTTCTGTCTCTCGCCTACATCTGAGGCAGTCTGAGGTGCCGACCCGAGCCCTGGACCTGTGGTCTGGTCATCTCTGCTCTGCGGCCGCATCTTGGACCCAGGGTGGCTGGGCATCTGCCCCATCTTGGGAGAGAGCCTGTGGGGCTGACAGGATGGGGCAGGGCTGGGGTGGCCAAGGAGGAGAGGAATAGGCTTTCCAGGTTTTCTCCCTGTTAATCTCTGTCCCCATCTCCTCTCTTGCAGTACGCCTCCATGACAGTATTTCTGAAGAAGGGTTTCACTACCTCGTGTTTGACCTGTAAGTGCCACTTTCTGAGGGTGTGGGGGCCTTTCCCTCCAGCTGGCTCAAGAGGAAGGCTTGGAAAAAAAGCCCTAAACTGGGTCTTCAGCCTCTGCCAAGGGTCCCTCTCCTTTGCCCGTGGAGAGGGGTTTGATTTTGAACATCCTCTGGTAATGAGCAGATTGCCGAGGGTCTCCTTGCTCCCTCAGTGTTTCTCCAGAGCTCTGACCCTGGAGTGGCATTGCTCTTGTGTTTTCTGTTCAGTAGCACACCTTGTGCAGATGCTTTTTTTCTTGTTTCTCGGTGGAGATATAGAGTAAAGCTCTTTGCATGACCTTAAGAATTTCTGGGAAACTGAAGGCACCTTTTATTAGTTGTAAACTGGGCTCCCATTGGTCTCTCCTCCACTCTGGTTGTGGTTTAACATCTTAAAAATGGTTCTTCACTGAATGGAAATGCCTCTTTGGTATTTTCAGGGTTGGGCTTCTGTGTCCTTGGTCTCATTGTTCTTCAGCTTCATTAGTAGGTCAGTCCTTCTTGGGCAGCTGGATTTTGGTATTCATATTGGTCTCAAATAAAGCTAAGACTGTTTGAATAAATCAGTTATTTTCTCTTAACTGCCTGTACATTCATCTTTACCAGAGTATTAGGTAATCTACAAATTATAGAAACAGAAACGTGCAGGAGGAGGGGAGAGCTCACATTGTCCCAGGAAGAAGGTCCATTTAATTGAAGGATTGGTGTGTTTTGAGCTTGCAGACAAAGCACATGTAGAGTTGACACGTCTCTGAAAGCCGTTGTACAGTGTGGCTGTTGGTTACCTGTTGGATGCTGCCTCCTCTGACCCTCTTTGTTGGTTGCAGTGTTACCGGCGGAGAGCTGTTTGAAGACATTGTGGCCAGGGAATACTACAGTGAAGCTGATGCCAGGTGAGACATGGGCCCTGTGGTGTAAGTGTGCCTCTTAACTATCTTAGGGGTCAGGGCATTGTGCCTGTTTGAACCGCCTTTGGGAGCGATCAGAAGAGCTCTTACCTGGACAAAGATTCTGTAGAGTTGGACTCAGGCTACATTCCATGGGCATGCTTAGAAGTTAATAATTCAGCACTCCCAGATCAGTTTTCTGCAAAGCTCTTACAAATCTCTTTCACTCTGTCACACCAGAAATACCTTTCCTTCACATCACTGTATGCTCACGAGGGCCCAAGGGCTCTCCCTAGCTCCACTTCCTTCTTCTGACAAATTCTGCTGCATACAAGGCATCCTGGGAATGATCCAGAGATGGGGAAAACATGGTTTGTGTCCCAGAGTGTAAACGTCTGGGCTAATCTATACAGGGAACTTCCTGGGAGATTTCAGCCACCATCACCTTGTGTCTTGACCACCAGGACCAGCTTTTCAGGTTGGAGGACCATTCCTCGGCCACACCCCTCAGCCCCCAGCCCTCTAAGAAACCCTGGCATCTTCTTCACATGACGCAGCAGAATTCCTCCCACACCACAGCTCTTGGGCACTTGTTTGGCTTGCCTTTCCTGCCCCGGCTCCTCCCCCACCCCCGAATCTTTTCTGAGGGTGATGTCCTGGCAACCTGATTTTGAGTGTCCTGCCTGCAGCCTTCTCAGACATATGTGGCAGCTCTGGCTGCCTCTGGGGGCGTGGAGGGGGGGAGACACAGCTTCCTCACAGATTTCTCAACCCTTAGAGGCCAACGTTTGCTGATCAGCTTCAGATGCTTCAGCCTCAGGAAAAATTCTCAAGTGGGAGATGAATTCCAGTGCCAGCAGGGGAGGACCAGGCTCTGGGGCGGGAGGAGGAGGCGGTGATAGCTCAGGGAGCCTGGCGGGGAGGAGGGGGAGCTGGGGCGGGTGACTGTACCAGTGGGCTTGGCCTGGCTCTGCTGGGACACTTCGCACTTTTGCCATTTTTGGCCAGAAGGCTCTCCCTGCTAGCTTGGCTCTGTTCTAATTATATATTTCTGTGGAGACTCGCCTCTTCAGCTCAGTCTTAAAGTCTTCAGCCTACTCTTGGACCATGTCCTTATGGGGAGGCCTGAGCCTCAGCCTCCAGGAACCCAGAGAGACACTTTGGCTCTTGTGGAAGCCCCAGCCTCAGATTTCAGAGGAAGAAATACTGTCAGTCCAGGTTACTGATGGTTGGGCCAGATCATTTTTGGTCGTGAGGGCCCCTCTTGTGCATTGTAGGTCTAGAAGCATCCCTGGCCTCTATCTGCTAGATGCCAATAGCACCCTCCCTCTCAGTGGTGACAACCAGCAGTGTCTCCAGGTGTTGCCAGATGTCCCCTGGGGGCGGAAATCACCCTCTGGTTTTCACCAGTGCTCTGGACTGTTGGTGCACTCCACTGGGAGTTGACCACAGGCGTGGAGGATGGTTTGGAAGGTGGACGGCCTTCGAGAATTTGAGAATCAGCAGCCCATTGTGACTCTATGCTAGTTTGTCTTCTTCTGTGCAAAAGCATGATGAGAAATGCACCTTGGGGGGGCCGCTTTGGAACTCTCTTAAGTGTCTTATTTCTCGATGATGCCTGTGTACTCATTTTCTCTCCCCTACAAGATGATAAACTTCAGGGCCAGCACAGGGTCCCCTATACAGCTGGTGTGATACCCAGTCCAATGCTTATAGGTGCTTGATAAATGTTTACCTACCCCCAAAGCAACTTAGGCTTGGTTGGACTATCCTTCCTGAGTTGCCACCACAAGCCTCTTCTCCAAGAACACAGTTACTATAGGGGGAAAGAGAAAGGAGGAAGGGGTTGGATGGTGTCTCTTTCTCAGGCGTCTGAGGTATTCTTTCTTAGAAACAAATTGGATATGCTGAGCCTTCACAATCTAAGGAGGCTTGGTGGACCCTGTTCTGGTCTGTCCTCTGCTATTATCTAGTGGGAGACCCTGGACAAACCACTTAGTCTGCTTGGGCCTCAGTTTCCTCTTTCGTAAAGTAGGTTGAACAGATGGTGTCCAAAGTCCAAGGTTTTAGCTCCTCGTTCAGTGATTCTGTGTGAATCCATGACCCAGAGTTAAGTGCTTTAGTCTACAGCATGTGGTCGTGGATGGTTTAACCCTCCACTAACCTTTCTTTTCGTGCTTTTGCAGCCACTGTATACATCAGATTCTGGAGAGTGTTAACCACATCCACCAGCACGACATCGTCCACCGGGACCTGAAGGTACTTACTGCCCGGGTCCCCTTTGCCTCTTGTTTGTGAAGCACTGGCGCCACCTGGTGCCAGGTGATAGTACTGCATGGTCCCAAGCTAAGTTCGTCAGGGCTGCGGGATTGGTGCCTCACGAGGCTCTCTGTCTTCCTTACACAGCCTGAGAACCTGTTGCTGGCGAGTAAATGCAAGGGTGCTGCCGTCAAGCTGGCTGATTTTGGCCTAGCCATCGAAGTACAGGGGGAGCAACAGGCTTGGTTTGGTAAGCGTGACCCCGTCTTCCTGGAATGCAGCTCCCGCCCTTCCTCCTCTTCCTGATCTGCCTTCCTCTTTCAGAACTACAAGCCAGACCCTTAATGGTCCTGGCCTCCTCAGAGACTGGAGGCAGGGAGGGCAGAGAGCTCCCCCTGGCCCTCTGTGACGCAGTACAGTGAGACTAGCTGCTGTCAGCACTGCATTCTTGCTGCCTTCGGGGACAATGGAAGTTCCTTTAAGGCACACGTATTTGCCCTCTGGTTTAGATTCAGGGCACTACAAGAAGCCCAGCCCGTCGTCTCTTGCTGCCCAAGTGCTGAGAGCTTATGTAGCCAAATCAACAGGAGTGAGAAGGGACTTGGGGAAAACTGCTGATGTGGATTTAATGAGAGAGAAAGTGGGTTCAGTGTGCCTCCGCTCTCTCTTCCGCTACAGGTTTTGCTGGCACCCCAGGTTACTTGTCCCCTGAGGTCTTGAGGAAAGATCCCTATGGAAAACCTGTGGATATCTGGGCCTGCGGTAAGCCCATTCCACACACTCAGCTTTTTGGTGTTAAGGGCGCTCAACCTCCAGCGATGACAAGAAAGAGGCATTGCTATTCCCTGCGGGTCCCACAGGCATCTGGTATATGTGAAGTCACAGCACTTGCTCTGGTGTTCCCCGGGATGGCTGTTCCCATCACAACCTCCTCCCCAGCTTCCTAGATGATGATGGTGTTTCCTTCTCGAAGAGGGATTTACCCATGCCTTAGTGGGTGGGTTGTGCCTGAAGAAATCCCAGACATGGCGTGGTGACGTGGGGAGTGATGCACAGTGGCACAGCGTTGTCGGCTGCCATCCACCTCCCTCTCTGGGATGGTCCTTGACGTTCTGGGTGGCTCAGAGCCCCATGTGGCTTTTCTTGGTTCTTCAGCAAAGCAGGTGACTGACCCCAGTGACCTGTGTTCTGTCTTGTAGGGGTCATCCTGTATATCCTCCTGGTGGGCTACCCTCCTTTCTGGGATGAGGATCAGCACAAGCTGTATCAGCAGATCAAGGCTGGAGCCTATGATGTAAGGACCAGTTTGTTCCTGCCCCTCTGTCCGGGGGAAGAGGGTGTGCTGAGTATGTTGTAGGGTGTGGGGAGTGTGAGGGATTTTGAGGACGATATAGGCCTCAACTCTTGTCACCACCTGTCCCAGGGAGCAGCTTTTTTTGCACAGCCATTGTTGGTGGCTGTAAAATCACGGAGTCTACTAAAGCCCTTTGTTCTGTTATTCGTGGCTGTGTAGTGCGCCGTGTGACATTGAGGTGAGAAGTGTGGCGGCTCCTCCCACTGCAGTGGGGCCTTGGGCATAGTGTTGAGCAGCGGGTTCCTCCTCGTAGGGAGATGGACTTGAACCAGATGTCAGGGTCCCCTGGTGTGATATTCTGGCATTCTAACCATGATTGTTCTGTTCTTCTTTCCCAGTCTGTAACTTGACTCAGGTCCTGGGATACCCAGTGCTTTAGCCCACTTCGTGCTAGGCAGCTTTCGATAGTTAACCAGGGTTAACCTTGTAACCTTGGTTACAAGGGGTATAAGGTGCACAGATTTCATATCCCTCCTTCTCCTGTTCCCACTTCTTAGTTCCCATCACCAGAGTGGGACACAGTGACTCCAGAAGCCAAGAACTTGATCAACCAGATGCTGACCATAAACCCCGCAAAGCGTATCACAGCTGACCAGGCTCTCAAGCACCCATGGGTCTGTGTAAGTGTCTTCTCCCGAGGTCAAGGAGATCCAGGATATCAGCTCTCAACGTGCTCATAGCACTGTCTTTACCCTCCTTCTTGTGACTAGAGAATAATCATTTGGGGCCTTGAGCTAAGACGCTGCAGAGGGGACAGGGGACTGGGTGGGGCCCAGGGGCAGCAGATGTCACCAAGAGAAGCCAGGGAAGCGATTGGGACTAACTGGCCTCTCCATGACCTTCCCCCACTCATTTGGCAGGTATGACTTAGTTTTGCTGTTGAATGAGGGCTTAGGTTGACCCTTGCAGACTCCAGTTGATGACAGAAAGCAGCCAGCAGAACTCAAAAGTCAATTGCCATGCCTAGAGTGCATATCCAGATCCCAAATCAGACAACTCTAATGGGAAGGTGATGAGACCCAACAAATAAACAAGAGAGGCCTGTGAGCAATGAAAAAAGAGCTTCTGAAGTTCAGTCACAAAGCTCGTCCTAGGAGAGCCCCCAGGCTACCGGTGTGGGTCGCCATCATGCTCTGTTTTTGTGTAAAGTTCTATCTGGCTGCAATATCTCTTTTCAAACAGCGTCTGCTATAGTCAGGCCTCCTGACAACCGTGATGCATGTATTTATTTGCTCTTTTCCATGTTTACTGAATGCCTCTTTGTTGCTGGTCCCTGTGTGCTGGAGATACAAAGATGAATAAGGCCTAGTGCCTTCCCCCACAGATCTCAGAGATGATCTGGGGAGACAGGCACTCAAGCAGGCAACCAGTGCAATGTGACAAGTATGTAAAAAAAAATCTAACGAGTGTATAGGGGCCCCTGCCGTCTCTGGTGGGCAGTGGGATTGCTGAAGGCCTGGAGGAGGTGAGCTCTGTCCTGGTTCTCGGCAGATTACGGGAAATTCCCCAGGATGATAACCTGCAGACTGAGGTTAGCACGGGCTAAGGTGAGTGGACATGGGGAATTATAGTGAATTTAAAGAATGTTAAGTAGTTTGGTTGTAGATGAAGGTAGGGCTACAGGAATATAAAAGAACGAAGCCAAAAACGATTCCAGTGACATACAAGTTTCTGCCTAAGGAATTTGGGTTTTATTCTGAAAGCATAGGGAACCATTTAAGAGCTTCAAAGAGGGAATGAAATATGCAATTAAGAAAGATCACTTTGGAAGCTGTGTAGAAAATGGAATTGAAGAGGCAGGGGCAGAGAGAGCTAAGGAAGCTGTTGTGGTTGTCTAAGCAAGGCCAGACAAGGTTTCAGCTAAGGGTAATGATAGGATAGGTGGTGTGGCAAGGAGTGGACACATTTGAGAGATACTTGAGAGAGAAAATAAAAAGGACTTTGTGACCAACTGGATTTGGAAAGTGAAGGTCTTTTGAGAGAGAACTGTGGGAATTGCCAGGTTTTGAGTTGGTAACTGAGCTGGAGGGTTGTATCATTCACTGACCCAGAGGAAACCTAGAGGAGGAACCCTTTTATGAGAAAAGATGATGATTTTAGTTTCATACATGTTAAGTATGAGGGCCTCCAGCTGGAGACATCCCGTGGGGAATTAGAAGTATGGAGAAGTTAAAAATCAGAAACACAGGTTGTGGTCATTTCTCTATGGATGGTGTTGGGGCTATAGAAATAGATGGGATTGGTTCTCTGCTAATTGAATCGTTACTGTGGGCTGTTGTAAGAGAAGATATGGCCACTAGCATTTAGTGGCCCAGAGAGGAGCCAGCAAAGGGGACTGTGAATGAGAATGTCCATGGGAGAAGGAAGATCAGGAGATCCTAAGAAACAGGAGGTCTCAGGAAGGGAGGGTCTGTAATCAGATGCTTCAGAAAGTCCATGATAAAGATGGAAGAGAGCCTGTTGCCCGTGACAAGTTAGAAGCATTGTTTCATTATTTCACTGAAAGAGGCAGTGCAGGCAGAGAGACTGATGATACTGCTAGAGAAGATGGATGAGTCAGGGGAAGTTTTAAAATCTTGCCATTGATTATAGTATGTTGACTGCAGAGCAGAATATTATCCAGAATAAAGGGTTTAAAATATTGGCTAAATTTTGGCTCAATGTGAGACCTGTAGAAGGTGTCCTATCTACTAATCTGGAAGATAATTTGACTTGTTTTATGTAAAAAAAACTATACACACACACACACACACACACACACACACACAGGCTAATTGAAGAACCAGTGTTTGGAAAGCACAAGAGAGGGGCTCTGGAGCCCAGGTTAGGGGGCCAGCACATGAGGGGTGATGCTTCTGAGACCTGGGATTAGGTTGCAGAGGGGTGAAAATCAGCTTGTGGGGGGAAGGCTGGAACTGAAGAAGTTCTTGCTCGATCATCTCTCATTTCTCTGGTTTAGAAGTTTACACTTTGGAGGAGGAAGTGAAATATGATACACACACACACACACAGACACACACACACCACTCCAGAAGGTCGACAGAAGGGAGAGTTGCTTCAGGAACCAGGAAAGGGAGAAGCCAGGGATGAAGGCAAGGATGGCAGGGTGGTCCTGTGGGGGTGTGGGCACCAGGCTACATGTTGTAGATTTTATTTTTCCAGCAGACTAGCCAAGATATAACAAGAGCAGAGTAAAGGGATGAGCCACTTAAAATGGGTATTCAAGAATTGTGGGAATAGTATGTTCTGGGGGCATGTTTGTGGGCCCTACTCCCTATCATCCTGTATATCTCAGTAGCCCCTGAGGACACCTCTGTATTAGGATATTATGTAATAATTGATGCTTGTATTGCTGACCCTGAGTTATCAGGGAAATGTAAATCATGTCTAAGGGACTCTGTTTAAAAGTTAGCAGTAATACATTGAAGAAAAATTCACGTCCAAAATGGTGAAGAGAATTGATGCTTCAAGGTGAAGATCCTCAGTTTCTCACATCACAACTTCATTTAGGACCTTGTAGGGGGCTGCTGAGAGGAGCTCTTGGAAAGAATGAATGTTCTCTGCAGAGAGCGGGACCCCTTCCTGTTTTCTCACTGCCCAGAATCTGGAGTACATTAGGTGCTCACTAAATAGTAGGTGAAGGAATAACTGTGTGAGGATCACAACACACAGAATACTCACCCTTTCCATAGCCTCCATCCCCTAAGGAAGATCAAAATGCTCTCCCGGGCACCCTCATCCAGCATCAATTACCGGTGGTGTTTTCATGTTCAAATTATTGTCCTTACATAACCTTGAGTTTTGGGTAGAGCTTTTATTGTAAAAGCATTTTTCACATCTATGACCTCATCTTATCTTTGGAGCAACTCTGGGGTGGCTGAGCACAAGGCCACTGGTGCTGGGACTATGGTAGGGGGCAGAGGATGTGCCTGGGGGCTCACAGGCCTGTCTGTTTGGCTTCCAGCAACGGTCCACGGTGGCATCTATGATGCATCGTCAAGAGACAGTGGAGTGCCTACGCAAGTTCAATGCCCGGAGAAAACTGAAGGTGAGTTGTGCCTTCTGGGCCAGGCTGCAGCGTCCTGAAATCATTCCTTCTGGCAGTGCGCCCCCTGCCCCATCGCAACAGGAGAGATAGAGTGAATCTTCCCAGTCATCAGCCCCATTAATTGGCCGACTGGGACAGCCTCTCATGGCTGGAACTGAGCTGTGAACACTGTACCCGAGCAGGGCCCCTAGGCAGCAGTTGCACTCTGCCTGAGAACAGAGCATGCTTCTGTAGAGCCTGATGGAACTCACAGGACCCTTTTCTTCTTCCAGGGTGCCATCCTCACGACCATGCTTGTCTCCAGGAACTTTTCAGGTATGTGTTCAGCTGTGCCATTTCATTCTCTGAGGTGAGTGGGTCAGGATGGGCCATTGCCAGGTATCATGCCATCCCGATGCTGGGTATCTCAGGCAGCACCTTGACCAGGATGGTGAGGATGCTGTTTGGAGGCCCTGCTACAGCTGAGTCTTGTAACCTGAAATTCTGAGGAACTTTACTTGACTTCAGGTTTATGATCGGCATTTCCTAGAACCTCACAAGGAGTAACCTGCCCAGTCTTCCATTTACGTTGTCCTTGGGGATTCTTCATTCTCTGAAGACTCTCAGCACTTTAAGATTTTAGACAGTCTCGAGGGCACCAGAGGATGTGCTTGGGAAAAGAAAGGGATGAGATAGAGTGAATCTTCCCAGTTACCCCCATTAATTGGCCAACTGGGACGATATCTACATCGTTGTGTCCAAGTAGCGATGACTAATAGAAATCATTCCAGATGTTTAAACCATTTACAGTGACTATGCTTAAAATATTCTCTGTGATACTAACCGTAAAAATGAAGAAACAGGCCAGCAGGATGGAGGGAAAGGAACTTGCTTAAATTCATATGTGGAATTGGGAGACTTGGGACCAATAATTTGTAAATCACACTTGACATTTCTTTTTAAGATGCAAGACACTCCACCTTCCCGCCACCCCCCCCCCGCCCCCCGCCTTCCCATCATTGTTCACCTTCAGTTGGGAAGCATCGTGGCTTTTCTGTGAGGAAAAGAGTAATGACAGGACTTAAAAGACAGAAAGGTCTCTTCCCAACTTGACTTTTTCCCTGGTCCTCCCTCCCCCTCACCGCCAGCCCCACTAGTTTGGTTCAAGACTTCCCTTGCTTTCTCATAACCTGACCCCTTCCCTTGCTTTCCCTCTGCACAGCCGTGGCGCGGGGTGGGGGGCGGGTGCAGTGTGTAGGAGGTTCAGGAGGACAGCTCCCTGGGCAGAGATTGCCCCTTGAACTTGAGTCCATAGGCCTGGCTCCAGTAGTTCCTGGTAACCTCCAGCCTTGCCTCTGCGGTTTCATGAACTCTAGACTGCGAGCCACAGGGCCCCGGAAGGTCAGGACTAGACAGTGAGCTGGGAGACTGTCCTCCTCAGAGGGACCTGTGACCCTGGCCAGGGCTCAGTCTTGTGTTGTGGGCGGAAAGGCTGTGTTTTGGATTCACCTTACAAATGGGGATAGGCGGGCACAGTGAGCCACCTCCAGCAGAGGTGGAGCTGTTGTCCCTCCTCGGGCCTCTGGTCGTCTTAATTCTGCTTACAGCTTCTATGTTCTGGGTTTAAGAAAGCCCTTCGAGAGGATGCTCAAGGGCAGTTCTGTGCCCACCCTAGAATGGGGTGATCTGTTCTCGCTCTGAGTAGAAGAGACGTGAAACAGGCTGCTAGGAAATCAATAGCATGTGCCCGGCCATGAGACAGTTTCGCGTCAGCTTCTTCTGTCCATTTCAGGAAATTGGTGTCCTAGTTTCAGGAACTCGGTCTCTGTTAGGACACAGCACCTTCACTGGTCCCTAAAGAGCCTCCTGCCCTTGCGGCTCAGACTCTGTCTGGCCTTCACACTCACTTTGCCCTAGCTCAAGAGACAAAAAAAAAAAAAGTTGCAAGCATTCCAGGATAACCTCTTCTGCCCTGACTCTGGGACAGGTGAAGACAGAGCCTGTCTCCAGAAACTTCTCTAGAAAGAGGTATGTACAGGTATAATCAAGAAGAAATGGCACTTGTGTGCTTCTTCAGGAATAAATGAGGCTGTTTTCTGAGTTGATCCCAAGTAGAAAGTTCAGCTTATCCCTGGATTCAAGTAGGTTGGCGAAAGGTGAAATCGGGGCTTCTAGAATGTATTGCTTTAGCAGCCTTGATTTTCTTTCTGGGGGCTCATTTTTTGGGCATCTACACCTTTGGAACACTGTGAAATACAGCCTTCCCTGGCCACCTGCCTTGAAGAGGGAAAGTGACCTGTGTCTCTGAGAAGCTGGGGGATGTGGAGCATCAGTGAATTAGGGCCACAGACCCTCCCCGGGCCCCAGGTGCCCATCTCTCTACCGTTTGGAATGTGGGCGAAGGAAAGGGCTGCCATCTGAAAATGTCCTTCTTTAGGTCCCCTCGGGAGGAAGGTCTGCAGATGAGATTCCGACTCCTCACAGCCTTAAGCTAGGGCTGGGCTGCCTCGGAAAGGACGGCCACCCCTCTCCAAGTCAGGTTTGGGCCTGCAGACCTTCCACCTGAGGTGGTCGTGGGACAGGTGGAGCCCCGGGATTTCCCCACGACCTGTCCGAGCCTGGCCCTCTCAGGTCCCCAGACTGCTGCAGGACTGGCTGCACCTGCTCACCAGCCTGCCCCCGGCGCCTCCGCTCCCCCAGCTCGGCCGGCTTGGCCACGCCGCACGGATCCTGCTGTGCGCGGCGGCAGCGGGTTCCTGCGCCTCGCGCTGGGGCATGCTCGCTGCTGACTGGCCCCCGTGGCTTTGCGGCAGCTCTGTGCACTGAGAGACTGTATCCCCTCAGTTGGCAGGCAGAGCTCCGCCCCCGCCTCGCCTGCCGCGAGCGCCGCCGGCCTGGCCGGGCAAGGTACGTGGCATGAGTCCTCCCCGACCGCCTGCCTCGGCTCCCTGCCACCCCACCAGGAGGGCCAGCATGCCAGGCCCGTTCACCAGGGAGGCGAGTCCCATGCTTGCGGGCTGAGATGGGCATGCCAGACGGACCACCTAACTTGGCATCTGCGAGCGCCTCGGTGTTACGGAGCCCCCTAACCAGCCGTGCATGCTGGGCGCTTGCCAACTCTCAGGAGGCAATAGCCTGGGGACGTGGAGCTGGGCAGCAGGAGGCTTTCCTCCCAATGCGCCGCCCGCCTGACAGCCTGGCCTATCTGTGAGGGCTGCGGCCAAGGCGACCCGAGACAGCCCTGGCCTGGCCGCGACCTGCACTGGGCGCCCGGACTAGGGTTCAGCCGCACTGGTAGGCCCCGCCCCACCTGTTGGGAAGGCACGCCCCTCAAAATTGTGCGGTCTGACCTTGCAAGCCTCTGGGTCTGGAAGGCAATAGAGTGCAGAAGCTGTGCAGACAGCCGTCCCTGGGTTTGGATCCTAGCCCTGCCTCACCCCGAGCAAGTCACAGCAGCTCTCCCAGCCTTAGTTTCCTCATCTCTCCAATGGAGCTAATAACAATTAAAATCATTTTTGACTAAGGCTCTCAATGCTGCCTGTAGGAGAAGACTTGTCCAAAAAATATCCCTGTTGCTGAGACCCCCCCGCCACCCCAGACAAATAAAATCAGAAGCCCTAGGGCATGGGATAGGCATAAGGTGTTTTGTTTTGTTTTATTTTTCCCTCCAAATTCCCAACTGATTCTAATGGGCTATCAGAGTTGAGAACTTTTATGTATGTAAAGCACTTAGCACAGTGGCTGGTCAGACATAGTAGTAAGCACAGTGAAAAAATTTTTTTTTCAGATCACCCCAGCGTTAACTGGAGATAGAACCAAAGTCTGTTTGTAGAGGTCAGAGTTGTGATTCCCTCGGAAGACCCAGCTTGGGTAGGAATGGCCACCTGAAGGAAAGCACTGCAGCAGTACTGACCGTTGTTAACACTTGCTGAGTGCTTGCTATGTGCCAGGCACTCTGCTTAGTGCTTTTCATGCCATGATCCCATTTTATAGATAAAGAAACTGAGGTTCAGAGAGGTTAGGTAACTCACACAGCTAGTAAGCAGTAGACCCAAGATGCAAGCCCATCAGAGTCAGGGTGGATCAGACAGTTGGACTGATTCCCTCTCCCTGGAATCTCCTATCCACTGCCTGCCACCTTCCTGTGGCCTTTGTGGCCAACAGACATCACCATCCTTCCTAGTGGAGCTCATCAGCATCACCCTGTCCCTGGCTAGAGTCTGTCTGCCCAGTCCTTTCTGCTCAGTGGGTCCAGAGACTAGACTCCGAGGAAAGGGTGGCATTGAGGACCTGCCCGTCAAGGCTTCAGCCCCCGGCAAAGCCCTCCTGTGGGTGCTCCTGGTCTCCGTGTCTGTGTCTGTCTGTCCCCACGTCTGGTCTCCTTCGTGAACTATGACACTCTTGTTTCTTGAGAACACTCAGGAGATGTCTTGCATCCTTGCAGCTTGGCCGTCCTGAGAATTTCCATGGCATCTAGGGGTGGAGCCCTCACCTTTCACCCTGGCACTCTGCTTCCAGGCCTAGGTGGAAGCTGTTGAAGGCAGAGTTCCCAATCGCCCAGGCAGCCCCAGTGTTGATTGTGGTTTTCTCCTAAGCCCGGAGTGTCCTTGTTTCTGCTGAGTCCTCTTCCATGGCAGAGGAGATCCTGGGGTGCCACCCTGCAGGTCTGATGCCGCCTGAGATGCCCTTCTTGCCCTGGGGCCCCAGGAAGGGCCTCATTTAGGGGTTTCAGGAGACTCCTGGCCCCTTTGTCAAACATGTCAGTCTCTTGCGGATCCAGCTGCCAGACTTCAGGTTGAGGAGAGGATACCATGCAGGAGACTTGATTTTTCTCTTTGTTTTCACAGCTGCCAAAAGCCTATTGAACAAGAAGTCGGACGGCGGTGTCAAGGTAGGTGTCTCTACTCCTCCAGCCCAAGTGTGGCCCCTCTCCCCAAAAAGTCACTCCTGGGACTCCTTGGCAGTTTGTCACTCCTTCCCCCAAGAACCTCCCTATCCTTGCTTTTTGCTTTAAACCAGAAACCTCTGTGCTCAGAACAGCAGGTTCCACTGGCCTGGGAGGGCAGAGGGATACGTGCTTCACCTGACCCTAGCTTGATTGGCAAGACTCAGGGGAAGTGATTCAAACTATAGTTTGCTAGAAGTGAATCCTGAACATGACTTCCAGACACAGGTTTTATCTCTAGGGCTTGACTGTCTGGGTTTTTTAGGTTATTGGTTAATCTTATTTTCTTTTTAAAGCACAAACCCATTTAATCAAATGAAAGCAAAGTTTGCCTGGTTGACTCAGGGCACAAGGCTTGGCACCTGAAGCTACTATCCTTTTCTCTTTTTTCTGATCTCCAAAGCACTTCCAGAACTCAGCTCAAATACCATTGAGGGATAGCGTCTTGAACTGACTCGAGGCACAGGTGCCTTAGAAACAGGCAAGGGACTTGTTTGTCACAGCTCGTCTTCATTTGGTGAGGGCAACTTTTCTGGGGGATCAACGCAAGAGGAGGGACCAGGCCCCATAAGCAGGAAGTCTCAGTGAGGGTGCCTGCTTGGCCAAGGTAGAGGGGTCCACACAAAGCTCAAGGTGTTCCTAGATGCTTTGGGGGCAGAAAGCGCCCTGGGCTGGGGTGATAGATAGGAGTTCATGCTATCTTGAAACCTACCAACTTACACCGCAGAGAAGTTCAAACCATTATCATGCAAACCTTTAAATTAAGACAAAAGTTTAAATGAGACTTTTCCCTGGGATCTTATGTTCCCCGCTGAGATAGACCTGTGCCCCTTTCCCTGCCCCCCATCCCTTCCTTTCTCTCATTCTTTGCATGCCAGCTTCCGTGTACTTCTGCCCTAAGGAGGGGAGCTTGGGCTCCACACACCTGCTGCCATAGAGCTGGGGTTGAATGACAGCCCCTCAGTTTCAGGGCTGTGGGCTGGATAGTGGAGCCAAGTTAGGAAAAGGTGTGTATGTGAACCTAGTTGCTCAGTCGTGTCCAACTCTTGTGACCTCATGGGCTGTAGCTGCCAGGCTCCTCTGTCCATAGTTTATCCTGGCAAGAAAACTAGAGCGAGTTGCCATTTCCTACACCAGAAGATCTACCCGACCCAGAGATTGAACCTGTGTCTCCTGCATTGGCAGGTGGATTCTTTACTACTGAGCCATCTAGGAATCCCTAGGGAAATGTGGTCATATTTAGAGATTTTTGCATGTGTCTTTCTGGAGAAGAAGCTAGAATCTGTCTTCACAGAGTGTTTATTAAATACCTATCAGAGGCTCAGTACTAGGGGCACATAAGAGGTATAAGAGGAGATGCAGATTTCATTCAGCCTCAAGAAGTTGCAAGGTTAATTGAAAAGGAAAGTGGACACACCTGGAATCAGCTAAGCACTGAATGGTATATGGACCCTTCAAGGGATGGTTCAGTCCAAGAAGCTTCGGAAGAAACTTATTGGAGAAAGCTACAAGGATGTAGGAAGATTGGACCCAAGTCAGTGATTGCCTTTAGAAAATGGGATTGGAGGCAAGGGCAGGGTGGGGAAGGCACACCTTTATTTTTTTAATTTGTATACATGTTTTCTTTAAAATGGGAATGTATTATTTTTGTAACTTAAGAACAACAAGAAAATATTTTTATAGGTTCTATTAAATATCTTGATGTTCTCTGCTCAACTGAAACATGGAGTACAGGGATACAGAAAACACAGCTGGATTGGTCTGGCTGGGCAGAGAAATTGGAGGTTTGTGTGTTAGACCACAGGAAACACCGAAGGCCACTGAGCAGGAAGGTTACGAGTGGTGTTTTTGAAAGACTTGGCTAAGTGTGTCAGGGTAAATAGAGGATGGTAGTGTCAACCACAAATTGACACTTGCCATTGGTACTTCCCATCTACCTCTACAAGGATTAAATCATATGCTGCTGTGGCTACTAATTTTCAACACCCCCTGAAAGGAGTTCAGGGTGGAGAGCTGAAATGAGGCACTCTATGCTCTGGTTAAAACTGGCAGAACAGGTCTTCAGATAGTTAGATATAAACAAGAGCCAATTTTATGAGCCCAATTCATTCTTATAACTTCCCATGTCTAGAAAACTACTAAAATCCTTCATGGTGACAAGTGTTCCTCGTGACTAGCAGAAACCTTCTGCAAAAAAAAAAAAAAAAAAGGAATATGTGTTTGATTGTATGTACTTCCCCTTTACCAAAATCACACATACTGACCTTCCCCTCTACGTCTTTGGAGCACTTTCTCAGAGTTATCTGAGGTGCTGTCTTCTGGGCTATAGTCCTCATTTTTGCCCCAAATAAAACTTAATTCACAACTCTCACATGGTGCATTTTTTAAGTTGACAGTAGGAGCTAGACACAGAAGTATCAACTAGGACTTATTATAGTCCGGGTATAGGGTGAAGTAAAGATGATGAGAAATATAAAGAGTTAATATTCAAACTAACCAGAGGAGCACAGACCAACCAGCTGGGATAGGTGCTGCCTATGGGTCATTGGTCCAGCTCTGCCCATGAGTGCCAGGCTCGGATTAGACGTTAGCCCTGATAAGATGTGTGGCAAAGGATGTTCCCACTGGATTCAGGGATTAAAAGAGGACCCATCAAAGGTAATATCAAAGTTTCAGGACTGTTAAAAGAAATGGTGGTATCTCTGCTGGGATGGGGAGTAGTGAAGGAATGTTTCAGAGGGAAGAGATGTTTTCTTTTGAACCACATTGAGACTGAGAGACAGGTAGAGATCTGGGTGGAAATGTCTTTTTTTTGTTGTTTTAAGATTTATTTATTTATTTTTGGTTCTGCTGGGTCCTTACTGCTGTGTACAGGCTTTCTCTAGTTGTGGCTACTAGAAGCTACTCTTCGTTGCGGTGCACAGGCTTATTGCAGTGTTTCTCTTATTGCAGAACACAGGCTGTAGGCGCATTGGCTTCAGTAGTTGCAGCGCAGGGACTCAGTAATTGTGGCCCATGGGCTCTAGAACACTGGCTCAGTAGTTGTGGCACATGGGGCTTAGTCCTGGCATGTGGGAACTTCCCGGATCAGGGATTAAACTCGTGACCCTTGCATTGGCAGGCTGATTCTCAATGAGTAGACCACCAGGGAATGGGTGGAGAGGTCGTTAAAGCTGGTATAGCCCAGGGAGGTCAACACTGGATGTGCAAAGGGTGTCTCACATGAGTGAATCTCATAAGTCCACTTACTCAGCCAGTTCTGGGTCGGCAGCAACATGATGCATCCTTTAAAGTGTTCACCGTGGAAGACAGACAGGGAAACCACGAGTTCTGGTGTGGTCTGTTAAGGTCAAGGAGGGAGGTGCATGCAGGATAGTCACTGGGGAGCAGAGAGACCAGCATCTGAGCCAGAACAGGAAACTGAGTTTGAAGGACTAGTTGGATTTTGCCAAGTCAAGGGGAGGGAAGAAAAAGACATTCCAGGCTGAGGGAATAGCACATGTGAAGATACACGAGTTTGAAACAGCATTATGATTCTGGGAACTCTGTTAGCTTTTATATGGCAGAAGCAAAGAGTGGTTGCTCAAAATAGGACCTGAAATAAAGCAGTGACAGCTGGGATGGTGAGAGGATGGTTAAAGGTGTCATTAACGGATAGGTTTCTAGCAGAACTTTGTAGATCCTGGCCTCAGGCACAGCCATTAAGACTAGCCTAAGGAGCTAGGTAAAATACACAGATGCCAGGGCCCAGCCTGGACTTTCGATTCAGAAAGCCTTGGGTGGGAGGCAGAATCCGACTCATTCCATTCCTCCATATGAATCCAAAGCACACAAAGGTTTAAGAGTCCGGGAAAGGCAAAAATGTCAGGGTTATCTGTTTTTAAGAGGCTGGAAGAAGAATCAGCAAAGGAAATGGAGAAAGAGGTAGATGAAGAACAGAAGTGTGCAGCAAAGCCAGTCCTTACAGGAACACAGAAACGCAGTCTAGGCAAACAGAATCAGCAGTTACATTGCTTTGGGGAACCTAGCCCAGGGTCTGACCCTGATCGAGTGCTCCATAAATGAGTTTTATGCTTGGGAAAATACTTTAAATATAGAGGTGGGACCAGAAACTAAGATGCAAGATTTTAAGAAGGGCATGACCAACCAAAATTCAAAGGCCAATAAGAGATTGGGGAAAATATTCTCAGCAGGTGTGATGGGATATTCTGTTCTTCGTTGCTTCAGTCATATCCTGCTCTTTGTGACCCCATGGACTGTAGCCCACCAGGCTTCTCTTCCCATGGGGATTCTGCAGGCAAGAATACTGGAATGGTCCAGATTTTCATGATCTCACAAGATTGATTTCCTTTGCCTTAATATGTTTCTAATAAAAGGGATATTTTCCTTAAAAAAAAAAAAAAAAAAAGAATACTGGAATGGGTTGCCATGCCCTCCTCCAGGAGATCTTCCCAACCCAGGGATTGAACTCAGGTCTCCCACATTGCAGGCGGATTCTTTACCATCTGAGCCACCAGGGAAGCCCAGTGATGGGATGAGTTAATATTATTTGTATACAAAAGAGCTTTCTGTAATAAATAAGAATACCCCCTAAAAACCCCTGACAGATAAATGGTCAGTGAAGATGAACTGACAATATGAAAAGAGGAAGTAGCGTGGGTTAACGAATGTGGATGTTTAGCCTCACTGGTGTCAGAGGCAGGTTGAAATGTGGTATCATTTTTTACTTTTTTTTGGCCACACCACACAGCATGGGGGATCTTAATTCCCCGACCAGGGATCGAACCTGTGCACCCTGCACTGGGAGGGCAGAGTCTTAACCAGTGGGCTACCAGGGAAGTCCCCATTTTTTGACTCTTAAGTTTGTGGTACTAGTGTAAATCAGAATGACCCCCTCCTAAAACAGCCTGTGTGTCAAAAGCCATAAAAGTGTTCCTATTTTACTCTTTAGTTCTAATTCTGGGAATTTTTTCCTAAAGGAATCATTCAAAATACGGGAAAACTGAAAGCAGAAAGATGTTCAACGTGACATTATTTATAACCATGAGAAGATGAGAAACATCAAAAGCTAACAAGATAATGACTTGGGGAACATCAAAAGCCAATAAGATAATGACTAAATAATTATGGGAATTCTAATTGACCATTACAAAGTTATTAATTTTTATGACTATATAATGACAGAAATGTTTTAAGTGGAAAAATGAGGTACAAAGCAGTACATACACTACTGTCTAAATTTTGTTTAAAAAAACAAAGTTTTTTAGATTATATTCAGTGTATAATGTGTGAATAGAAAAAGAACCAGGAGAAAACCCACTGAAGTGTTAATAGTAGCTTCACTGGGTGATGGAAATTTGGAAACTTATTTCATATATTTTTCTGTATTTTCTACATTTTTCACCTAGACTGTGTATTACTTTGATAATCAGAATAAAAATTAAGATGCTATTTATTTTTAAAGTAAGGTATTAAAAGAAAGGAATGATAAACTCGTATACAGCTTATGATGATATTTTATTTTATTTTTTTTTTTTAGAATGATATTTTAAAATTGGATATACAAAAGACTGGCAAGAGTGATAGGACTCTGGGTGTTTTTTCCCCTCTTTTCCAAGCTGCTTGTAATGTGGTTGCAGTCCTTTTATAATCGGGAATAAGTATATAATAATGAACAGCGTGGTTGGATAAAAGTACTGCAAAAGCGGAAGGAAAAGACAAGGCAAGGTATGCGGGGCTTTTGCTTTTCTGGGCCTTCTTGAACATCAAGGTGATAATCTGTATTATGAGGGAGACCTGTGAAGCTGCTCAGAAGATCCTGAGCTGTCAGCATCCCAGACCTTTCTTTTCGACCCCATCCTCCTTTCCCAGCCCCACCCCACTCCCCAGTTCCTGCTGGGAGTCCCTAGGGAGAGTTCTCTCTTGCTGTCCAGAAGCTTTCACAGACGCTCTCAGGTATCAGCATTGGTTTGAGTGCATTTGAATTTGGGGACTTCAGGCTCTGCTTAGGTTTCTTCAAAAGTATATGCCAGTGATCCAGGGTCTATGGAGGAGCAGAGCCACTTAAGAGGAGAGACTTCTCCTTGAGGAGAACTTGTGCATTCCACTAGTCCCAGGCCAGAAGGCCCGTCTGGTCTTTAAGGAGAGAGAAGGAAGAAAAGGAGGGAGAAATAAGGGAAGGAAGAAGGAAGAGAGGGAGGAAAGAAGGGAGAGAGGAAGGGAGGAGAAAGAAAAGGGAGAGAGGTCCTGTTATTTTCCTTAAGTACTGTTTGAATGTTTCAGTGTGGGACGGAAGCTTGAACCTTCTTTTGGTTTAAAATTTTAAATGTTTAATTGTTAAACATAAGTGAGGTGTGGTTCTTTAAAAAAACGATCTGGAAATTAAATAGTGCTGCTGGCTGCAGGGGAGGACGCCAGCTATGCACAACTGCGGGCAAAGCCCTAAAGGAATGGGAGAAAGAAATGGAAAGAAGTCTGCTCACCTGGTAGAAACTAAGCCATGAGCAGAAAGGATTACCTTGGGTTTTCCTGCAGGACAGTTTAGGAAAAAGAGAGCCAGTTGGGAGCAAATTGGGAACTTATTCCTCATTAGTTGAAGCAGACGGCAGAAAGTGAAGGCAAGATGTGAGTGAAAGCAACCTGCATGGCCTGTGACAAGACCAGCCCTGGGCTGGGCCCCTGCAGAGTTTTCAGTGCTGGGATTCCAGGCGAGTTAGAAGCCTGTGCTCTGCTTTAACCCAGGGGAAAACCACAGTCAACAATCAACAAACCCAGTTTAACTCTGCAAACATTTGTTGATCGAATGTTAACTCTAATATATTTTGCTAAATTGCCACGACAAATAAGATACAGACCTTCCTTCAAAGTGTTACCCGTCTGGTTGGATAAAGTGATAAGCATATATGAATGTAAAGCAAATCCCTCTTTTTTGGATAATTTGGAAGTAAAATCTCCTATGTGAGTATATATGAAAGGCTAAAAGTAAGAGGCTTCATTATATTTAGACTTTCTTTTTCCTTAGATATATTTCTAAATTGTGAGCCATTCTTTTAAATACTTGTAGTCCCCTTCTTTTGAAAAAAAAAAAAAACACATTCTCAAAAATGTCTTCTCAAGTAGAATGTCAACTGCTCAAGGGCAGAAACATCTATCTGTGTTCACCATGCCTAGAATAGTCCTCAACAAGCATTTGTTGGGTATTGTTAGATGAATATGCAAGTCAAAAGACAGACAGACATATTCAAAGGGGACTTGTGTCTCCCAGCAAGCTAATGATAAAATTCTTAATTACCTTTGAACTTTTAGACACAGTCTTCTGAGATGTATTTTCAGTGTTCCATACAGTCTATTTTTCTGTGCTTGTTTCATATCTGAACATAAAGTTTTTGAGCATCTAGTTGAGACTAAAGCATCCATGCTTTCAGCATTTCCTGTGGTTGGCATCTTTGTGTCCATGTGATAACTGCATTTCTAACCACCTGCACTCCTGTTGTTTCATTGCCCCCTAGTTTCAAAATGTAGTAAAACATTGAAATCTCATAAATGAGCCTGGCCATACCAACACAGAAGTGGGTGCCAAGCTATAATGTTTGTCAAATGATTTTCAAAAGTCCAACATCTTTATCTGAAAAGTTATAGAGGTGCAGTGAAAAAGTTCAGGTTCAGAAGTGAAGCGTTGTTAAAGCTGAGCATGACTTAAGAGTAGCTTTGGCTCTTTACCTGATAGCTGTTCACTCAAATCTCAGGCAGACCTAGTAGTGACAGAAATAATCCTATAGGTGAGCTCGATAAGCCGAAACCTATAAATTTGCAGCGAAATGTTCCTGTGACTTAATCTCCTTTAAAGAAGTTTCTCAGAGCAAAGCTGAGACACCTCAGAATATACTCAGTGTTTGTGAACCTGACAGCGAAGTTCTTTCTCCCTCTCTCTGGATCTGGACGGCTGTGTGCGCCTGTCTGGCTGTGTGTGCCTGGACGGCTGTGTGTGCCTATCCGGATGTGTGTGCCTGTCCGGCTGTGTGTGCCTGGACGGCTGTGTGCGCCTGTCCGGCTGTGTGCGCCTGTCCGGCTGTGTGCGCCTGTCCGGATGTGCGCGCCTGGCCGGCTGTGCGCGCCTGTCCGGCTGTGCGCGCCTGGACGGCTGTACGCGCCTGGACGGCTGCGCGCGCCTGGCCGGCTGCGCGCGCCTGGACGGCTGCGCGCGCCTGGACGGCTGTGCGCGCCTGGACGGCTGTGTGTGCGCTGTGTGTGCCTGTCCGGCTGTGCGCGCCTGTCCGGCTGTGCGTGCCTGGACGGCTGTGCGCGCCTGGACGGCTGTGTGTGCGCTGTGTGTGCCTGTCCGGCTGTGCGTGCCTGTCCGGCTGTGTGTGCCTGTCCGGCTGTGTGTGCGCTGTGTGTGCCTGTCCAGCTGTGCGCGCCTGGACGGCTGTGCGTGCCTGTCCGGCTGTGCGTGCCTGTCCGGCTGTGTGTGCCTGGACGGCTGTGTGTGCCTGGACGGCTGTGCGTGCCTGTCCGGCTGTGCGCGCCTGGACGGCTGTGCGCGCCTGGACGGCTGTGTGTGCCTGTCCGGCTGTGCGCGCCTGGACGGCTGTGCGCGCCTGTCCGGCTGTGCGTGCCTGTCCGGCTGTGCGTGCCTGTCCGGCTGTGCGCGCCTGGACGGCTGTGCGTGCCTGTCCGGCTGTGCGTGCCTGTCCGGCTGTGCGTGCCTGTCCGGCTGTGTGTGCGCTGTGCGTGCCTGTCCGGCTGTGCGTGCCTGTCCGGCTGTGTGTGCGCTGTGTGTGCCTGTCCGGCTGTGCGTGCCTGTCCGGCTGTGCGTGCCTGTCCGGCTGTGTGTGCGCTGTGCGTGCCTGTCCGGCTGTGCGTGCCTGTCCGGCTGTATGTGCGCTGTGTGTGCCTGTCCGGCTGTGCGTGCCTGTCCGGCTGTGCGCGCCTGGACGGCTGTGTGTGCCTGTCCGGCTGTGCGCGCCTGGACGGCTGTGCGCGCCTGTCCGGCTGTGCGTGCCTGTCCGGCTGTGTGTGCCTGTCCGGCTGTGCGTGCCTGTCCGGCTGTGCGTGCCTGTCCGGCTGTGCGCGCCTGCCCAACTAGGTGCTGTTTTAACCCTTCTGGTGCTGGACTCCAGGTCTCCTTCTCCTCTTTCCTCCTGAGGCAGAGCCCACGCTGGCGCACTAACCTGCAGCGTCTCTGTGCTTCTCTTCTTACCTCCTCTTTCCCCTTCTCTTTCCCTTTTGCTGTGGTGTGTCCAGAAAAGGAAGTCGAGTTCCAGCGTGCACCTAATGGTGAGCCTTGCCTGCCCACCCGTCTGCCCGCCCCGTGCTGCCTGTGCCCGCCTGCTGGCCACGCAAACCCGCGCTGCCACGTGCGTGTGCTTCCCTCATCCTCACTGCATGTCCGTGCCATGCGGGCAGGTGTGGCTGTCCTGCCAGGCGGGGTCCGATGCCTGAGGTCACCTGGCGGCCTCAGAACTAGGCATTGGGAGGAGTGGTGTGGCACTCCCTGCTGCCGCGCTTGGACTGCCCCCAGCAGCCCCAGGGCAGGATGTAAATCTGGTAGGGATTCGGGGCCAGGTGGCAAGCACTGGGGGAGACCCTCACTTATGGTCGCTCAGGAGGAGAGGCCCTGGGCACAAGCACTATTTCCTACAGATCGGCAGCCAGGGGGCCTCCATGGAGGGTGCGGAGGAGCTGGGTGGAGGCTCTGAGCCTCACTCTCGCGGCGTTCCCCTCTGCTGGTGCCCATCAGCCGGCTGTGCCCAGTGTTTTGTCCTTCCCACCCCACCCACAGGGGCACCAGCTGAAAGAATGCAGAGCTCGTCTTCTTTCTCAAGGGACACAGAACACCCAGTGGAATGCAGCAGCCTGAATCCTTATGAAACATCTATTGGGTTGGCCAAAAAGTTCATTTGGATTTTTCCATAAGGTGTCATGAAAAACCCAAATGAACTTTTTGGCCAACTCAATACTAAAGCCAGAGGTGGGGCTACCTGGGTGACATCCCAGCCCTCCGCAGATATGGCAGGTTTTACAGACACGATACAGTCCTTACCCCATGCCAAGGTCTTTGTCTCAGCTTTGCAAACAGAATGGCTTCATTCAGTCAGCCCTGAATAGGTCCATGTCAGCAGCTGAGTGAGGAGGGCTCTGCACTTTCGGGGGGATATGGAAGAGAGCAGAGCTTTTGTGAGATTAGGCCCACATTCTGTCTATTCCTGGGGTCCCCTTCTCCAGCCTGCAGAGTTGAGCAGAGTCTTAAAGCACCTGGTGCCTGGCTTGAGGTTCCATGCTGAGCCTCAGATTTGGGAACATCTCAACCACTGATAGCAAGTTACAGCTCCGGGTGTGGTCCGAGGGGGCCACAAAACAGGCTTCTGGGCAAGAAGTGGGACAGTCTGGATAGCTTTCTGGATGTGTTCTGGGGGAGAAAAAGCACGTCCTAGCTGCCAGTGTGCCCTCATTGGCACCATGCACATTGATGGTCGCTGGACATTTGTGTGTCTGCATGTTGGAGAACTCATAGGCATCAGGCTGCTCCTTTAGTGGCCCCCAGTTCCACAGGGACTCCTAGAGAGACTAAATATATTTATTGGTTAGGGGATTGTAAGAGGCAGGGAGCATCAGTATGACTCCTTTCCCTGGAGATCAGCCTCCTTCCTTCCTCGCCATCCTCTTCCCACCTCCCCTGCTGTGCCACTCAGTGTAATATTCTGAAAGGCAAGGAGGTAGCCTGGTGGTCTGCTGCTGTTGGCCTGTAGGCAGCCTCCTGTTTCCTAAGGACTAGGACTGCTGACTGGAGAAGGCAATGGCACCCCACTCCAGTACTCTTGCCTGGAAAATCCCATGGACGGAGGAGCCTGGTAGGCTGCAGTCCATGGGGTCGTGAAGAGTCGGACACAACTGAGCGACTTCACTTTCACTTTTCACTTTCATGCATTGGAGAAGGAAATGGCAACCCACTCCAGTGTTCTTGCCTGGAGAATCCCAGGGACGGGGGAGCCTGGTGGGCTGCCGTCTATGGGGTCGCACAGAGTCGGACACGACTGAAGCGACTTAGCAGCAGCAGCAGCAGGACTGCCGACGCAGCATCCACCTGGACTCCCCTGCTGCTCTTGGGAGTTCTGCCCATGTTCCCAGCTGATCACGTCTAAGATCAATCAGGCAAACAGGCCAACAGCACAGCCCTGCATCTGCTCCCCTGGGTCAGTGGTTGCATTTTGTATCCAGAGTCAAATTCCACCCCTTTCCTCTGTGGATGCCATCTCCTCGACCAGGTTGTCTTTCTCTTCTTGTTCCTCTTCAGATCAGGCTTCAGTCTAGTGTTGTAAGGGGCAGGAAATGCAGGTTGAAAGGGCAGCAGGGGGCTCCCACAGTTAGGGGACCCAGAGTTTCTGAATTTTGTTCTGCTTTCTTATAAACTGCATTTCTTTTCCCCTATAAAGTGAGAATATCCTGAATTTCTCTGGGTGAAGTATGATTGTACAGTGACAGGGCACCTAGCATCAGCAAAGATTTCTGGAGAGATGCTTTAAAACAAGTCTTTGGGCTCTCTCCACCTTGAGGATGCCTCCAGGGCTAGGTCTCTGGGTCCCTCCAAATAACCTCCTCTGATCATCTATCCAGCCACTGCTCCTACCCTAGAATGTTACAGGAGTGTTAGCCCACCTCAGATCTAGCTCCTCCGGACCAGGCCGGGGGACAAGGGAGGTCTGGGAGTCAAATCCAAGTGACTTTGGTGACTCTAGAGGAACTAAACCATCTGTTTTCTTGTCTCAGCCACAGAGCAACAACAAAAACAGTCTCGTAAGCCCAGCCCAAGAGCCCGCGCCCTTGCAGACGGCCATGGTACCTCCTGACTACGGCTTCTCCGCCCCTGCCCCTGGCTGCCTCCCGCTTCTGCCCGCTTCCTTCTCTCGCCCCCCTGCCAGGCCCCCTGGCCGCGTCCCCTCTCTCCCTGTAGAGCAGGTGGCTCTGTGTACTGCCCCCTGGTGGTCCCGCTTGGCCGTGCTCCCTCCTGCATGGCAGAACTCTGCTCCTGTTCCCAGTGCTCTTGGTGGGGACGAGTGATCAGGGCTCTCAGCTAAGCCTCCCAGCCCCAAATGGGTCTGCTGGGGGGCCGGGAAGGTGAGCTGCTTCTAAAGGGAGAGGGTAGGAGCTTCGCTGGGCTCTGTACCCCAGTTCTTGAAGGCCTCCTTGTAAAATCTGCCTCAGCCCCTCCTTTGCAAAGCAATGAATAGGAAGTGGGGCTGGAGTCCCCCACCTCTAGATGGTGCTGAGGTCTCTGGGGAGCCCCCATGCAGACTGAGTTCTGCCCTGGCTCAGTCAAGGGCACCATGTGCTCTCAGGGCCCCCTCTGCTGCTGGCTAAGTAGAGACAGCAAGGGGGGTGACTCGGAGAGAGGGAGGGGAACCGGTGCTGCCCCCCCCGCCCGCCACTCCTCCTTCCTGCACCCTGTCCCCCAGAGCTGCCTGCTGAGGACAGGAACTTGGGGAGAGGCAGGGGTGGGTGGAACAGGCAGCAGTCTGGGCTCAACTCGCTGAGGGCCACCTGTGAATCTTTCTGGGAGACCTCAGTCCACTCTCCCAGTATCCCTGTCTCCCACACCCCCCCTGATGAACACTGTTGGCCAGGCCCAGCCCGTGCCCTCAGCCCCACAGCTGCTCCAGTGTACTTGTCCCTTGGGAGAAAGGACACTCAGGTCTGGCTGGAACTGAGAGCAGGAGCCCTTGTCCTCAGCTTCCCCAGTACCTGCTTCCATTAAGTACCAGGCCTCTCCTCCCAATCAGCCAATGCTGTCCCCTAAACCCGGGGCTTCCAGCTGCCTGGGACCCAGTTGAACCAGGGTATTGTGTAAGAATGACTGGCGAGCAGGCCTCAGTGGTCATCATAGGGTCACTATTCGAGGGCTGGGGTCCCTCGGGAGAGCCGTGGGTCTGTTCCCAGGCCAAGAGGGTAACTTTCATCTTCTCTCACAGGAGCCACAAACCACCGTGGTACACAACGCTACCGATGGGATCAAGGTGAGTGGCTCCTGAGCTGGCCTCCTGCTTTCCAGGTCAGCAGGAAACAGGTGGGCTGGGTCACAGGGTCTCAGGGTCCTGGAGATGGCAGCCTACAGGCTGCACCTAGGGGCCAGGGTGTTTGCAGAGTCCAGGCTGGGGGCAGCATATGGCTTGTCATCACTCTGTTCCTGGGAAGGACATCATACTCCAGTGATTCGGAGCTCAGGCTCTAGAGGCAGACAGGTCTGCATTTGCATCCTGGCCCTGGGCCACTGGACAAGTCACCCTCCCACTTTGCACCTCAGTTTCCTTATCTGAAAATTGGGGATGCTAATAATAATAGAATCTTCCTCCATGACTGGTGAAGCTTAAATTAGAGTAAACATGAGCTAGTAAAACAGAGGCAGAAACATAATCAAATCCTAGAGCACTAATTCTCTATCGCCTCTCTCCTTGATGCCCTCAATATCCTTGTCTCCTTATTTTCACTGCCATTAGTAAATATTTATTGAACCATCCTCAGCTCTGGTTTACAGAGGTGACAAGAGGAAATCTCTCTCCACAGGTGTAAGGGAAGCAGATGATAAACCAAAAATTATACAAGTAAGATAAAATCCAGTAGCGATAAGTGCTATGAAGAAAATGTCACAAAGTAAATAGAGAATGAACAGGGCCTCTAATTAAGTGGTCAGGAAGGGCCTCCTTTAGAAGGTGATATTTGAGCTAAACACTAAACAACTGGAAGGTGGCAGCCATGTAGACCCTGAGGCAGAGTGCCCTAGACAGTGAGGATGCAGGCGTCCGGGCCTGGCACAGAGGAAATCAGAGCTCAGGGCGTGGTGAGCAAGGAGAGGAAGGCAGGAGGGTGGTGAAGCTGGAGGGCCAGGCGGGACCTGCTTGGTCAGTTCGTATTTTTTACCAGTAGCAACAAAAGCTGTTAGAGGCTCTTAGCAGGGGAGTAATGGAGTCCAATTTACACGTCAAAAGCTCTGGCCTTGTTATGGGGCAAGAACTTTAGGGAAGAGGCAAGTACGGAAACAGGGAGGCCAGGCAGCTACGGTAGGAGTTCAGGTGCCAGATGTTAGTATCTTGGGCTCGGGTTGTAGCTGTGCATTGGAAGAGAAAAGGTAAGACGCAATTTATTTTGGAGGTAGAACTGACCGATTCGGTTTTAGATTGGATAATTGGGACATGAGGGGAAGAAAGAAAGGCATCATCATATTATAAAATCATACCTCCAGATTTTAGCCTGAACAACTGGATAAGTGGTACATTTACTGAGTTAGGGAAGACTCGGGAGGGCGTTTGGGAATCAGAGTTTTATAAGAGTCACATGGTAAGGGTCTGATTCCTCCTTGCAGCTCCCATAGGAACATGCACTGTGCTTTTGTTCTGCTTGGTTCCTCTGGCTTCCAAGGGCCTGAGTTTATAGAAACTTGTTCTTTTTTTTGGCCCACAGGGCTCCACAGAGAGCTGCAACACCACCACGGAAGATGAGGACCTCAAAGGTAGGTATTGGCCCATAGTGGGGAAGGGGCCCCCGCAGTGTCCGAAGGGGGCACCTGCCTCATCTGCCCCCAGAACTGAGATTGGTGGCTTCTTGTACCCCAGGAGAGGGTTTGGCCTAAAAGCTACTTTCCTCGGACCCAGGGATGAGGCCCCTGTCTCGTGTTTCTGGGCTGGGCAGGTTGCTTCTCTTCTTTGACGCCATGTCTAGGAGAGTTAAACGAGGGCTTTTCCTGAGCCTGTCCAGGCCCAGGGCTCAGAGAGCTGCTCTTATCGCTGCTACAGTGTGATATCCCAGATCGGGGACATCTTGAGTCCCCGCAGAGGTGGCCTGCAGATGTCATGAGCCATTAATAAGGTCACCAGTGATCCCAGTTTCCCGGGCACTAAGGTAATTCCCCAGGATGTAGAACTTTGGGCTTTAAAACTAGAACAGTCCTGGACACATTGGGGTGGGTGGGTCACTCTTGTCACAAAGCCTTGGCATGAGTGACGACGGAGTCAGAGCCACATTTGGCCCTGCCCCAGTGGTCCCGTGAGGACCACCAGCTTAACTTTGGGTCTGCCCAGAGCGCCAGGGGATGTGGGAAGGCATGGCAGGCCAGACCACTGAGAATCTCTGTCCGGCTCTTTGGTTTGGCCTCCTGGGATTGCTCCCTTTGCCTTCAGTAAGTGACCTTAGGCCAAGTTCTCAGAAAAGTCGGAGGAATGTTGCAACTCACAGCTAAGAGAGCACACCCGGGGCAATAAGGGAGCAAACAAACCTTTGGCAATCATGAAAAGAAGAAAAAGCATAAACATATAAGGCAGTAAAGAACAGTGCCTTCAGGGCTGCCAGGATTGAGATCAGGTCATTTCAGTTCTGGTGATACTGGCAGAGTAAGCGGCTCCTTCACTGCCGGGCTGTTGACCCTGTAGCCCTGGTCCCTAGATCATCTTCCCTGGGAGCAGGGCTCCTTGTACAGGCTGTTGGAAGGCTCCTCTGGAAGCCGCAAACCCAGATCTGTGCCCCTTCCTGGGGCTTTCAGCTGGGAGGCCTCTCTGGCAGCGTGGACGTGGTCCCAGGTCCACAGCAACCCGAGGCATCGCCTTGCCTCGGTTCTTCAGTGCCACGGGCTCGGGTCCTGTCCGGCTTGCTCGCTCACCTGCCTTGTTCTGTTTGTTTTGGCTGCTCTGCCTTGCCCTGCCCTGCCCTGGCTGGCTAGCTGCCCCGCTCCGCACTGGGAATGGCAGCTCGATGCCTGAAGGACGGAGCTCCCGGGACAGGACAGCCCCCTCTGCAGGCATGCAGCCCCAGCCTTCTCTCTGCTCCTCAGCCAGTAAGTGTGAGGGAGGCACATTCTGGCTTCCGTCTCCCTGGCTCATCCTGAAGCCCCTCAGGGATCCCCCCCACCCACCCCCCCAGAGCTGTCAGCCCAGCCCAGCTGTCCATCTAGTCAGCTTCGGGAGCTCAGCCTCTGCTGGGTGGGGGAGCTGATTGGAGGTGCTGTTAAGACCAGACAGGGGTCCTTGAGACCGGGGTCCAAAGACATGAAGAAAAGTGGGTGGAAGAATGTGGCAGGAGGGAAGAAGTAGAAAGCCAGTGGGATACGCAGAGGGCCTTGTCTCAGCGCTGAGCGGGAAGAAAGGTGGAGTCAGAAGTCAGGTCCATGGTAGTGGGTGTGAGGTGGTGGAGAAACTCATAGTCAAGAAAACGTGTTCCCCTTGGTGCTTCTTGAGGCTCAGCATAATATCATACTAAGAGCTCGGGATGAAACTGACCTGAGTTTAAATCTAGCTCCACTACCTTCAAAAATGCGTGAAGTGGCTTAACCTCCTGGAGCTACAGTTTCTTTATCGGTAAAGTGGTAATAAAATGACACTCACCTCAGAAATATAAATGGGATAGTGGAATGTTTTGCCATGATGCTTAGCTGGTTAGTGGTAGCTCGTATTTACATCTTCAGTTGTGTTTTTGTAGAGGATGCCTTTGTCTGCTTCTTTCCCTCCTACCATCGATCCTTCTAAAGTTTCTAAACACGAGCCTCTTCACCCGTAGGGCCCCAGTCAGGTCTTGCAGATGGGCTTGGTGGGGTTGGAGAGGGGGTGTGTGTGTGTGTTTGTGTGTGCGTGTGCACATACCTGCTTGCCTTTAGAAAGTGGATGAAGCTCTGTGGTTCCCCTAACCTCGAGGCTTATTTGCCTCAAGCCACCCTCCTGATGGTGCTCATGCCTGTGGGTCCCGGTGCTTCCGTACCTTTGGCTGCACTGTCCTCTCCCAGTCGCGCCCCTTGGCTGTGCTGTTCTAATGCTCACATTTGTCTTGCAGCCTCTCGCTCGTGGCCTGGGCCAGCCTGGGGCTCCGGTCAGGGTTAGCCTGAGGCCTCCCTTACCCTGGCAGCGCCCTCTGCTAATAGTGGCGCTCCCTGTAAGTGAGCTGCCTGCGAGAGCAGGGTGTCATCAGCAGTCCCTTGGCTTGGAATTGGGGTGGGGGTGATGCTCTGAGGGCACCAACTCTGCCTGCCTGTCAGTCTGAGCCTTGTCCTTGGTTCTCCTGAGGGACACATCCTGGCTTGAGAGCTGGTGTGAGATTTAGAGTTTTTCCAAGGGTAAACGGAGCTGGTAAGAGGCTCCATTTAAAAAGAGTGTTTATAGTTCCAAGACCCCTTATCTCAGAAAAGCCCTGTGGAGGAGACAAATATGGCAAAGAGAATTAAGCATCCACCCCAGGGGTCTATTCATCCTTCGGAGCCCTCCTCAACCCTGGCTAGAGTCTGCTTTCAGGCTGGCTGGTGCCCAGGGCTAAGTTTTGGACCACTGAGTGAGGGCTGGGTGAGTGGGGGGTGGGCTGGTAATTGAGACCTGACTGAGCCCCTTCAGGTGAGAGAAATGAGTGGTGGAAACAGCCATATCCATAAGATGCTTCTTTGAGAGCCTGAGCCTGTGGGGATGGGATACAAAGACTGAGGGCAGAGTATTCACAAGGTGTCAGGCTCCTTGGCTTTAAAGACAAGAGTGTTTTCTGCATCTTGGTTATTGATGGAGAGGGAGGCAAAGGCCAGAGGATCATAAGGCAGGCTTTAGGACAAAAGGGTCATTAGCTCTGTGGGCAACAGAGGGAGAAGGGAGAAAACAGTGGGCTCGCTTTTCCCGAGAAGGGCCTTAAAGAGAGAGGAGGGATGTCTGTCAAAGAGGTTACAGGGATGGATTGGGGAGGGCTTTGCGTCACTTGGGAGAATCCCAGTCTCACATGGGTAAATTGCTGGATTTTTCCCCCTACAGTGCGGAAACAGGAGATCATTAAGATCACAGAACAACTGATTGAGGCCATCAACAATGGGGACTTTGAGGCCTACACGTGAGTAGAGACCTATTTCCTTGACACCCAAGTCATCTCTCGAGCCTTTCCCGCCTTTCAAAAGGCAGCTGGGACCAGGGGAAAAGAGAAGGCTGGGCCTTGGGCACAACATCTGAGTTAAACACCAGGCCCCTGGGAGCCCTTCCAGGTAGATGTCGGTGATTGAGCCCACCCATGGTGCCCGAGCTGGTGGGTTGAAAAGGTGGAGCTGAGCTGCTCAGCTGGCAGGGCCCTGAGATCTCAACCATCTTGTCAGGCCCAGCCTGCAGCTAACCTGCTGCCGCTGAGGAGGAAGATAGACAGTAATTCTCATATAAGACTGACAGGCTGCTTTTTTTTTTCCTTCCCCTGTAGGAAGATTTGTGATCCAGGCCTCACTTCCTTTGAGCCTGAGGCCCTGGGTAACCTCGTGGAAGGGATGGATTTCCATAAGTTTTACTTTGAGAATCGTGAGTGGGTTCGTGCTGCCGAGATACTCCTGCCTGCCCTGCACCCCCTCGCCTCTGTCCCCGCTCACCTTCTCTTTCCAGCCGCCCGCTTTTCCCTTCCTGGGCCTGCCTGCCGCACCCTGGTCTGTGTGCTTGCCTCCGGGGGCCTGAGGATGGTCTTCAGCTGGCATCTCCAAAGGCCCTCCTCGCAGAGCCCCGTGTGGCCCTGTTCTGCGGCAGTGCCGCTGTATAATGATCACGGCCACTGTATTGCTTTAAGCCTTACCTCTTTCCAAGACACTTGAAAACCATGAGAGGTTAGGTTGAGATGGTATCAACGAGTAATAATGAAGCTCTATGTCTGCAGGTTTCACAATAGAGGAAATTAAAACCAGGATAAGAATGTGCAAGCAAGTAACAGGGCACCGTTGGCGACTGTGAGATCGGAAGTTGTGGCTAGGGTCCTCCTTCCAGCCACTGAGGGAGACAGGAGTCCTGGCTAGGGGTGGGTGGCCGGGGTGTTGTGCTCCAGGCAGTTCCTGGAAGTCCCGGAGGATGAGAAGCTAATTCATTACCTCCTCCCATCTTTCTTTCCACTAAGACCATCCCCCTCCTTATTTTTTTTCCTCATCTTTCCCACTTTATCCTGGGCCTTCCCCATCCTGCCCTAAATTTTACTTTCTCACTCTTTTCTCTGCTAACTACCATCCTCTCCATGTCTCAGCTACAGTTATAAACCCTAGGTTATCTAAGTAATTCTATTAGCCAGAAGTAATTCCAAAGCTCACAGAAACTCTCTGAAAGGTCTCGTGTAGCCCCTAACATTCGAATTGAACTAAAATGTGAATCTCAGTAAAAGCAACACAGTTCATGGTGTTTGCTGATAATGGCAACCCATCTTCTTTTGGTTTCCCCCCAGAGGATCCTGGGGACTCTGGGAGTACCCTCAGCTTGGTGCTTTGCTGACTTTTTTTTTTTTTTAAACTTTGGACCTTTGTGAAAATCAAAAATCAATTTTGAATATTTTAAGTTCTTGGTTTTGCTCTGCAGCCCTAATTAGGGACAAGCCAGCCCTTATGAGGGGAACCCAGGTGACGCAGAATGATAAAGAATCCACCTGCCAAGACAGGAGACAAGGATTTGGTCCCTGGGTCGGGCAGATCCCCTGGAGAAGGAGATGGTAACCCACTCCAGTATTCTTACCTGAGAAATCCCATGGACAGAGGAGCCTGGCCTGCTACAGCCCATAGGGTTGCAAGAGTCAGACGTGACTGAGCGCACACAACACTTGTGAAATCTAAACCCACCTGTCGGGGTAGAAAGATCATCATAGTCTTTCGTTAAGATAATCTTGAGTTCAAATGTTGTGTGGGCAAATTACTTAACCTCCTTGAGCGTATTTCCTTATCTTATAACGAAGAAAATAATATTGACCAAGGAATATGGCTCATGCATGTAAAACCCGCAGTACATTGTCTGATTAAAATACTAGCTGCTGTTAACACTGCTCCCCACCTTTCTCTTCCTTTTAAATAATTGAAACAAATCTAATGGGGTTTCCCAGCCTCTGGAGAGTGTATAGGGGACCTTGGCAACTCCCAGAATGCTTACTGGAGAGAGGGTGAGACTTGGGAAGTGCAGGCTGGGAGGAATATGCCCGTCCCCAGGCATGATGCCCTCCTACCTACCTCACCCCACCCTGCCCACTACAGTCCTGTCCAAGAACAGCAAGCCCATCCACACCACCATCCTGAACCCACACGTCCACGTGATCGGAGAGGACGCAGCTTGCATTGCCTACATCCGCCTCACCCAGTACATCGATGGGCAGGGTCGGCCTCGAACCAGCCAGTCGGAGGAGACCCGGGTCTGGCATCGCCGGGATGGCAAGTGGCTCAATGTCCACTATCACTGCTCAGGGGCCCCTGCCGCACCGCTGCAGTGAGCTCAGCCACAGGTGCACCTGGTGGGGGGTAGGGGGCTGGGACAAGTGGGCTCAGAGGAGGAAGAAGGGGTTGAGAGGTGGCCTTGGGGGAGGACATATGGGCCATCCCGGAAGAGTAGTGAAGGCCAGACAGTGTGGTGGTTGTAATAAGTTATGCTCTCAAGTCAGACAGACTTGGCTCCATAACACTACATTGGGTGACCTTGAACAGGTTACTTCCCTCCCTAAGCCTCATTTTCCTCAGCTGTTAAAAAGAGGGAAGGAGCGGTGCCTGCCTCCTTTGTGATTTAAATAAGGTACTTGTAAGTAAAGCACTCAGTAAGTGCTCAGCAAATGGGAGGCGATGTTATGTTTAAATACTAGCTTCTTCCCCATCCTCCACCTTCTCAGGCAGAGTTGGCCACCTGTGTAGTGTGTTTAAGCCTCTGGAACTCCTGTGTGCGTACTGTCCTCTGTCCTGTTATCACGTCTGTCCTGTTTGACAGGGGCATGAGGAGATCCCAGCCGGAGGTCAAACCTTCGCAGCCAGTGGCTCTGGAGGGCCTGAGTGACAGCGGCAGTCCTGTTCGTTTGAGGTTTAAAACAATTAAATTACAAAGCGGCAGCAGCCAATGCACGCCCCTGCATGCAGCCCTCCCGCCCGCCCTTCGTGTCTGTCTCTGCTGTACCGAGGTGTTTTTTACATTTAAGGGAAAAAAAAGAAAAAAAAAAAAAGATTGTTAAAAAAAAAAAGCAGGATCCATACCATGATGTGTTTTAAAACCACCAACAGCCCTTGGGCTGGCAAGAAGGCAGGAGTCTGTGTGACGCCCATCCTGGCACAAGCAGTGGGCTCACCCACCAGCCCTGAAGAGGTGAGCTCGGCCTCTGGCCTCCATGGACTCGGGACCAGGCAAAAACTCTGACAGAGCTCTGGGGGCTGTGTGATGTGACTGCAGCCTCTGAGATGGGCTGCCTGCCCCAGGTCTCGGAATGGACTTCTTCAGAGTTTGTATACGCGCCTAGAACGAGGCTTATGAGAACACCGTGGCCAACAGACCTACTTGGGAGAGAATGCGGAGCTCCCAGCCTGCCGTGGAGGCAGCTGAGAAGCAGTGGCCTCAGGACTGAGAAGCAGGGCCCGGACGTTGCTGTACTCTACCATTTAGCGTAGAAGGGAAGAGAATTGGTGCTGCAGAAGCGTGTCTGCTCTGAAGCTGATGAGAAACCTCGTGTTAGTCTGACATGCACTCACTTACTCATCCATTTCTATAGGATGCACAATGCACGTGGGCTCTGATCTTGAGGCCCAACCCTAGCAGCTGGGAAATGGGAGGGGTTGCCGCTTTGCTTTGTGTTTGTTTTCTCATAACTTAGCAAGGAGAGAGCCAGGCCTTGGACTGGGCTCCCCCTGCCGCCTTGGGCAGTTCTGTTTCCGTGCTGACTTGGACCATCTTTGTCTTGCCTTCTTATGGTGGTGGTCCCTGTGCTGACTCTCATCTGGGCCTGGGCTCTCTGCCAAGTGCCCCTGTGGGATGGGAGGAGTGAGGCAGCGGGATTGAGTTGACGGTTGTTTCTATGCATTCAGGCTGCCCTCAGGGCTGCCTCCCTTCTTACTCTTCCCTTGCTGCACGCCAATCTCTTTTCCTGTCTTTGAGACTGACTTGACTACTCTGGCAAGAAGAGGTATCCTCTATAAAGAGACTTCTTTACTGACCAACTGAAGTATAGACTTACTGCTGGACAATCTGCATGGGCATCACCCCCGTCTCACCTGCATGTACCCAAAAGAGATGTCCAGAGCCAAGGCTCCTGCCTTCATTGTCCCTGTCTGTGCTCAAGGAGTTCCATTCCAGGAGGGAAGAATGTACATTCTAAGCAGATAGCAGAGACGATAATGGAGGAGCAATTGGTCATGGCCTTGGTTTCCCCCCAAACAACTGTGCAGGTCTGTCTGCACAAATGTCTGCACTATTGGGGGAGAGATGGGTAGACCCCAGCTCCCTGGACTGCCTTAAGGAGGCACAGGAGCTGGGAGAAGAGACAAAGCTACAGGTTTACCTTGGAGCCAGCTGAGAAGAGCAGACTCACAGGTGCTGGTGCTTGGATTTAGCCAGGCTCCTCCGAGCACCTCCTGCATGCCCCAGCCCCCGGGTCCCAGCCGTCTCCCGCCCTGCAGCCTGCAGTACCAGCACGCAGACACCTTCACCACAGGGTTTGGTTTTGCTGGCTTGAAGACAAATGGTCTTAGAGTTCATTAAGACCCATAGCTTCATATGGCTGCTCCAGCGCCACTTCTTAGCATTCTTACTCCTCTTCTGGGGCTAATGTCAGCATCCATAGACAATAGACTATTAAAAACAACAACAACAACACCTTTTAAACAGGAAATGGAAGGCATTTGATGCAGAATTTTTGCATGATGACATAGAAATAATTTAAAAATAGTTAGTGTTTGTTCTGAATGTTGGTAGACCCTTCATAGCTTTGTTACAATGAAACCTTGAACTGAAGATATTTAATAAAATAACCTTTAAACAGTCCATTGTGTTACTGCTGTCGGAGGCTTATGACCAGGGGTTTAGATTTAACAGCCTGGGTTACAAGGCTTCTGGTGGAGAGCTGGACCTTCTCCCACTCCTTTTGGACCCATTTTAGAATAAAACTTCCTCCTAAACTCATCAGCCTCCAATCACCCCACTCGATTGCTGAGGCGAATTCGGGATTGGGGTTGGGGAGAGCTTGCGCTCTTAAGAGGTGAGCTCGGAGTCTCGCCCCGCCTCGGGCCCCGCCCCCGCCTAGGGCCGCCCAGCCCCGTCCCCCGCCTCTCCTCAGTGTGCCGGCCCGGCTCCCCCTCCGCCGAGCCGAGTGGAAGATCCCGCACCCTCGGCCCGCCCCGGCCTCGGGAGCCGCGCCGCCGACGCTCGCCAGGTTGTGCCACCTCGCGGGAGGGAGGGGAGCGCCTCTGCCGGGGGCGCGCGGAGCCGGCTGTCTCTGAGGTCGCGGCTCAGCCGAGCGCTGGGGAACACCGTTCAGCGGCCCGGCGCCTCGGCCGCGCGTCTGGCAGGCCCGGAGGCGGCGGGGACCCTAGCGGGGCCGCGAGCGGCAGCGCGCCGCCTCCCCCCGGTGGGAGCGGTGGTTGGGCCCGGCTGCGGCAGAACGTTCGCTCGGAGATGGCGGAGCCGCCGCGACGCGGCCCGAGGCCCCGAGAGCAGGGAAGCCGGGCAGCCCCGGGACGTGGCGGAGCCCGGGGACAGCGGGGACGCCGCCCAGTCCGCCGGGTGAGCCGCCCTTGAGGAGACCCCCGTTCAGAGTGTGGCCCCCACCCACGGTCCCCGCAGCTCTCCCCTCACAGACTTCCCTCAGTGTGGCCCCCGAAACCGCCCGCAGGGGCGTCCCCGGCGGCCCCTCGGGGCGGCCCGCGCTCCCCTCCCCCTGTCCCTTCCGCAGGCCGCCCTGGTCGTGGCCTCATTCCTCTTGGCTGGTCCCCTCTGCCCTGGGCTCCTCCTCCCCTCGGGGCTCTTTCCAGCCCGACGCCCGCCCCGATGTCACCGCAGACCCTCCTCCGCGCGCCCCTAGCCTAGCCCCTTCTCCTTTCCGCTTTAATGCTTCACGCCCTACTCTCTCTATACACACCTGTGAACCCACGTTCCCCCCAGCTGGGCCTTCCGTCTGTGACCCCCGTGTGCCAGCGCCCCACGCCCCTGTCGCTGCTTAGGTCCCCCTCCTCCCGCGGCATCTGCACTGCTGGTCTCCCAGCGCGGAGCCCACACCCCCTCCTTCCTCAGCCCCCACCTCAATTGCTCTCCTCCCGCTGTTGCGCACACATTCAGCAACCCCTCCCCGGCCGTGGTCCAGCGTCGGTCTTTATCATTCCCACCCCGCGCCCTCCCCCTCCCCCAGGACTTTCTCATCACCCCTTCTCTGAATATTGCTGCTGCTTCTAGGTCCGAAGCTAAAATGCAGTGGTTAAGAGCAGGGCTGGAGCTTGACAGGTCTGACTTTGAATCCCAGTTCCTCCACTGACTGAGCTGTGTGATCCTGGGCAAGTTACTAAGCTTCTCTGGACCTCAAATTACTCATATGTAAAACGGGGATATTACTTACCTCTTAGGACTGGTGTGAGCATTAAATATAGAGAAAGCTCTTAGCAGAATGTCTGGCAAAGAGTAAGCCCCAAGTAAATGTTAACTATTAACCGTAACATTATGAGTGATCACCCCCCAGTATCTACTTCCTCCATTCTACAGTGATTTCTTCTCACTACTGTGTTTACCCCAAAAAGTTTCCTCTAGGTCTTAGGATTCACCCCTTCCCATCACCATTTTGAGCCTTTCCCAGCTGTCTTTTCATGCCAGTTAGTTTTACTCAAGCCAAAGCTGAACTGTTCTCAAACTGTCTTTCTCAATTCTGAAGGACCCCCATCTCTGCTTAATCACCCCAAGATGTGTATGTGTGGGGGGTGAGTGGTAAAGATTGCCTGCCACTGGCCTTACTAGAAATGATTAAGATGGGGAGAGTGACAGTAAAGCTTCTAGTTGGTCTACTTAAGGAAGAAGGAGATCTCTTTAAAACTATTCTCTGATGGTACTTTCTCCTTTCTCTGTTATTGATTGGATACTACTTAAGCTCCTGTTGCTCTCTGCCACCCAGCCCTATTCAAGCTTGCTCTATCTCTGTACTAGGACTCAATCCCTCATGTCTCTCTAGGCTGGCTCAGGACCCTTCTGAGCTGTTTAGGGATGAGGATGTAGTACTATCCAGGCTAAGTTAGGAAGGAGAAGTAGAGTGGATAGGGAGACAGATTCTGGTCTCACCTCTCTAGCTTTTCTTAGGTGCCAGTGATGTGGCCTGCTCTGGGGCTATATTTTTATCACCCCTTCTGACATTGGCACAGATGAGGTAAAGAGCAGGGGTGGGTAATTTTTCACAAGGAGTAGGGAAGAGAATTCTCAGGTTCTGGGCTTGGAAGGTAGTAGAATGATTAGCTAGCACCATTTGTCTTTCCTCTTGAATTCCCCTACCATAGTGTCCACCTGACTGCAAGTTCGTTAGTGCTGTTAGCCTGAGATGTTGGGTTTGATAGATGAGGGAGATTAACGGACACACGAGTTTCCTCTTATCTGATACTTCGTTGGAACATGGGACTTCTGGGGCTTTCCTTCCCTTCTTCACAGGAAGACCAGAGCCCCTACTGGCTGACAAATTGCTCAGTCACAGGCTGGGAACTCCTTTCAAAGCAGGTTCATTTTCAGCCTTCTGAAAGTAAGAGGCCAAATAGCCTCTTACAGATGGGAGATTTGTTCTCTTCCAGACCTTGGATATACTGCTTCAGTTCTGAACTTAGTTCAGGGAGGAGAATTTAGACAACATTCTAAGAAAGGGAACAGTCTGTGAAGCTAAGGTATGAGACTCAGATTGTGTTGTTCTTCTGCAGGAGCTTGTTCTTGGAGAACAAACCATCCTGTGAGCAGGAGGTAAGAGAGATGGGGTGAATGGGGGGGATGGATTGATTACAGTTTCAAGGAGAGAAGTAATGCACCAATTTCTCTTATAGGTTGTGAGGAACTCTGACATCTGAAGTGAGGAGCTCAACCAAGACCAAAGGTGGAGCCTAACTAGATTTGCATCCTGAAGGCATGGGCCAGTGGGCCATGGTGACCTGAGACCAATGAACTCTGTCCAGTTGCCCCCTGTTGCCCTTTCTACCTCCTCTACCCTATACTAAGGGGACTTGTTTCCACCTTTGCAGGGAGCTGACCCTGCGGGAATCCCTGTCCCCTCTTCATATCCTTCTACCCTCCCAGAGAGCCTCAGCCTATAGAACTCCTACCTCCCATCCCCTGAGGTGGTCCCCATCCCTGCCTCACCTCCCCGCCATGCTCAAGCTGTGGAAGGTGGTACGCCCAGCTCGGCAGCTGGAACTGCACCGCCTCATACTGCTGCTGATTGCTTTCAGTCTGGGCTCCATGGGCTTCTTGGCTTACTACGTATCCACCAGCCCCAAGGCCAAGGAACCAATGCCCCTCCCCTTGGGAGACTGCAGCAGCGGCGCGGCAGGTGCTCCTGGCCCTGTACGGCCTCCAGTTCCACCCCGGCCACCCAGGCCTCCAGAGACAGCGAGAACTGAACCCGTGGTCCTCGTGTTTGTGGAGAGTGCATACTCGCAGCTAGGGCAGGAGATTGTGGCCATCTTGGAGTCTAGCCGTTTTCGTTATAGCACTGAGCTGGCACCTGGCCGAGGGGACATGCCCACACTGACTGATCATACCCGTGGCCGGTATGTCTTGGTCATTTATGAGAACCTGCTCAAGTATGTCAACCTGGATGCCTGGAGTCGGGAACTACTAGACCGGTACTGTGTGGAGTATGGTGTGGGCATCATTGGCTTTTTCCGAGCCCATGAGCATAGCCTACTGAGTGCCCAGCTCAAGGGCTTTCCGCTTTTTCTACATTCAAACTTGGGGCTTCGGGACTACCAAGTGAATCCTACAGCTCCACTCCTGCATCTCACACGTCCCAGCCGCCTGGAGCCTGGGCCACTACCCGGTGATGACTGGACCATCTTCCAATCCAACCACAGTACCTATGAACCAGTGCTTCTCGCCAGCCTTCGGCTGGCTGAGCCCCCTGTGCCAGGACCAGTGCCTCGCCGGGCCCGGCTTCCCACTGTGGTGCAGGACCTGGGGCTTCACGACGGCATCCAGAGGGTGCTCTTTGGTCATGGCCTCTCCTTCTGGCTCCACAAACTAGTTTTCGTTGATGCCGTTGCATACCTCACTGGCAAGCGCCTCTGCTTGGACCTTGACCGTTACATCTTGGTAGACATCGATGACATCTTTGTGGGCAAGGAAGGTACCCGCATGAAGGTGGCTGATGTTGAGGTCAGTCTTTCTTTTTCCTGACTCAGATTTCTTTCCTTAGAAGCTGTTTCAGGCTCTGTCCTTTCAGACTCCCTTCCTTGATTCTGAGCTTGCCCTTTTCCAGGCAAGAAGAATGCGACTTCTCAATTTTCTCCTTAGATTGCTCTTTCCTGATTTCTCATGTTCCTGCTACTCTTCCCAGGCCCTGTTGACCACCCAGAACAAACTCAGGACCTTAGTCCCCAACTTCACCTTCAACTTGGGCTTCTCGGGCAAGTTCTATCATACTGGTGAGCTCGTTCGCCTGTTCCTTCAGCATATCAGTCTTAGTTTGATCTGTCCCTTTACTGTCCATCCTCCTGGGCAGACAGGTTGGAGAAAGGGGGCAAAGCTTGGGGTCAGAATGCTGTGAGGAGCTAGCAGTGGGTGGGAATTTCGGTTAGCATGGGTGGCTGGAGGGCAGGTTGGCAATGGGGAAAATAGTCCTAGGTGGGCAGAGGTCAGCCATGTTGTCCCAAGAATGGAAAGGGGTCCCTGTTGGTACAGAACAAAGGAGTACCAGGGCCTAACTGGCTCTGGTCAGTGGTCAGTGTGTGGTCATAGGGACAGAGGAGGAGGATGCTGGGGACGACATGCTGCTGAAGCACCGCCAAGAGTTCTGGTGGTTCCCCCACATGTGGAGCCACATGCAGCCACATCTGTTCCACAATCGCTCTGTGCTGGCTGACCAGATGAGGCTCAACAAACAGTTTGCTCTGGTGAGACCCTTGGATTTCTTCCCCATACTTTTCCCCAAAGATAATGCTTCCTTTTCGACCTTTCCCTAGTGGAGTACCCTTCCCTTGTCCTTTCCTATTTTCTTTCTATGGAGGCATCCCCACCCCCTTTACCCTCTACTCCCTAAACTTCACCAGGTCCTGGTGAGAGTCTATGCCCCATTCCCAGGAGCATGGGATTCCCACGGATCTGGGGTATGCTGTGGCCCCCCACCACTCCGGCGTGTACCCCATCCACACACAGCTCTATGAAGCCTGGAAATCTGTGTGGGGCATCCAGGTGACCAGCACTGAGGAGTATCCCCATCTCCGCCCTGCCCGCTACCGCCGTGGCTTCATTCACAATGGCATTATGGTGAGGGGCTCCCAGTACAAACCTGAATAAACTCCCATAATCGCCCAGCCTCCAGCCTGCCTTGTCCAAGCTCGTCCGTAATAACGGGGTAGAGGGGTGAAAAGTCATAATGCATAGAGCAAGAGCTTTATTGCTGTAACTTCAAGCTGTCCTCTGTAAACTCAAGGAATCCTAAAATGCCTCAAGCCTTCTGTCCTTCATCTAGTTCTCATTCTACCTTCCAGTCTTACCTCTCCCTGATGTTGTTTTTTTTTCCCTTCAGGTGCTGCCGCGGCAGACATGTGGCCTCTTTACTCACACAATCTTCTATAATGAGTATCCCGGAGGCTCTCGTGAACTCGACCGGAGCATCCGAGGTGGAGAACTCTTTCTGACAGTGCTGCTTAATCCGGTAAGGTGCAGAGAGGAAGGGCTAGAAGATGGAACAGCCAGTGTGTTTGCAGGGTGAGACTTTTGCTCACCAAGCCCACTTTTGAAGTAGGCTCTTCAAATCTGACATGCAGGCACCCCCTTTCAGATCAGCATCTTTATGACCCATCTGTCTAATTATGGAAATGATCGGCTGGGCCTGTACACCTTTGAGAGCCTGGTGCGCTTTCTCCAGTGCTGGACGAGGCTGCGCCTACAGACCCTTCCTCCTGTCCCTCTTGCACGAAAGTACTTTGACCTCTTCCCTCAAGAGCGAAGCCCCCTTTGGCAGGTAGAGGTGGAGCTCAGGTTGATCTAGAGACATGATGGGGGTGGCTTTTGAGGAAAAGATTATCTGATTATTGGCCTCACCTTTAGAATCCCTGTGACGACAAGAGGCACAAAGATATCTGGTCCAAGGAGAAAACCTGTGATCGGCTCCCCAAGTTCCTCATTGTGGGACCCCAGAAGACAGGTGAATCATCCTTAGCCAATTTCTGTTGCCTTAAATCCAGAGAATTCTCTGGCCAAGGAATTCCCTTCTCATACCCACCCCTCATTAATCCAGTCCCTTGGGTGACTCTTTTTTGGCTGTGCTGGGTCTTCGTTGCTGTGCGGGCTTTCTCTAGTTGCAGCAAGTGAGCAGGGGGCTGCTGTCTAGTGTGATGTGTGGTCTCATTGTGGCTTGTTGTGGAGCACAGTCTCTAGAACGCATGGCTAGCAGGTTTAGTTGCTCCACAACATATGGGATCTTCCCCAACCAAGAATCAAACCAGTGTCCCCTGCATTGTCAGGCAGATTCTTAACCACTGGACCACCAGGGAAGTCCCTTTGAGTGATTCTTAACCTGGTTGTATATCAGAATTACGTCTTTTTTTGTCATTGTTTTTTTTTTAAAGATCCACAAGTGATTCTGATACACAGTCAAGGCTGAGAACCATTTTAACCCTTCCTTGGACCTCTCTCTGGCTTTTCTTTTCTCACTCTAGTTTGGCCAAAGGGTGTTTTACTACCCAGAGTGATTGTTTTCTGACCTCTTTCAAGCTGATGTTGTTGAGATGGATTCTCTCCCACCATGGCCTGGACTTTCTCTCCTATTTAGGGACCACAGCTATTCACTTCTTCCTGAGCCTGCATCCAGCTGTGACTAGCAGTTTCCCTAGCCCCAGCACCTTTGAGGAGATTCAGTTCTTCAATGGCCCTAATTACCACAAGGGCATTGACTGGTAAGACCTGGGATGCTTCTCAGAACATTCCTTTCCTCTTAAACCCCCCCAATTCCTGCTTCCACCAGCCCAGGCATCTGGCCCCTTCTCTCTGCAAATTGTCTCCCTGTCTTCTCTACTACTTCCTAGGTACATGGATTTCTTCCCTGTCCCTTCCAATGCCAGCACTGATTTCCTATTTGAAAAAAGTGCCACATACTTTGACTCAGAGGTTGTACCACGGCGGGGAGCTGCCCTCCTGCCACGAGCCAAGATCATCACTGTGCTCACCAACCCTGCTGACAGGGCGTACTCCTGGTACCAGGTGAGTCTGAAGCTAGGGACACATTAGAACATGAGAGGCGGTGACTGCTGGAGAGACAAAGGAATGAGGGTAGGGAAAGTAAGCTAGCACCTAGGGGAGGGGTCTGTTCACCAGACCAAGAGGAAAGGCAGAATAATTGTAAGGTCACCAATTCTTTCCCTTCTTATTCCTTGTCCTTCAGCATCAGCGAGCACATGGAGACCCAGTTGCTCTGAACTATACCTTCTACCAGGTGATTTCAGCCTCCTCCCAGGCCCCTCCAGCACTTCGTTCCCTACAAAACCGTTGTCTTGTCCCCGGCTACTATTCCACTCATCTACAACGCTGGCTGACTTACTACCCCTCTGGACAGGTATAGTTCCCCATTAGCCCTCATGGGGGTCCCCTTACTTTTCCTGTCAGCCCAGTGGCTTCTAAGGAACATACAAGGAACCACATTCATGTCCCTTTAGTTGCTGATTGTGGATGGGCAAGAGCTGCGTACCAACCCAGCTGCCTCAATGGAGAGCATCCAGAAGTTCCTGGGTATCACACCCTTTCTGAACTACACACGGACCCTCAGGTGGGAGAGCATGACCCAGGGGAGGATGACTCTGGGGAAAATGGGGAAGCCAGTTGACCATGTCTGTTTGGAAGAGAAATGAATTTACCTGTCTTGCAAGGAGAGGCATGTGTCCCTGTGGGCTGGGAGATAGTAGTGCTCATTTATGGGGCCTGGATTTCTTTTCTATTACTTCATGGCCTTATCCTGTTGAGCAGGTTTGATGAAGATAAGGGATTCTGGTGCCAGGGACTTGAAGGTGGCAAGACTCGTTGTCTAGGCAAGAGCAAAGGCCGGAAGTACCCAGATATGGACACTGAGGTAAGGAAAACCAGGGACAGGGTTTCCCTCTTCATGTCTAAGATCTGATCCTGTCCACTCCTTACCATTCTGACTTCATTTTTTCTCCTGTTAGTCCCGCCTTTTCCTTAAGGATTTTTTCCGGAACCACAATTTGGAGCTGTCGAAGCTGCTGAGCCGGCTTGGACAGCCAGTGCCCTCATGGCTTCGAGAAGAACTGCAGCATTCCAGTTCGGGCTGATGTATCAGCCGCTTGTACCAGCAAAAGCCCCCTGCTTCCCTAAGGGCCAAGCCCAGAGCAGGGTGGCCCACAAGGGGATTAGAGTGGCCTGGTCCCTCCCCCTTCTACCTCAGTGGCCTTTAGGCCTGGGATGGCTGAGAAGGGTAGGGCATCCTTTCCCCATAGTTTTGGGGTGTAATAAAGGGGATTCCCTTGATGATACCCTGCAAGATGGTACTAGGCACCTTTGGCCCATGGTCTTGAAAGGTGGAGGGAATGAGAGGGTCCAGGCAGGGGATAGAGGAACATATTAATCCAGTGCTTTCCCTCTTCATCCCCAGCAGTGTATCTATCTATACTGGCTATGGGAGGGACCCCTTACCATGGGATCAATGGGATCTACCTGTGGCCCGGCCTTCCTAATGTCATTCACATTGAATGGGGATGAGGTCGGACGATGGCTCATAGAGCTGAGTATGAGCCCTAGCTATGGGCTAGAAATGACTTTAATAAACGTCCTTATTTTTCTGTTTTGTCTGCCTTGCTGGAGTGGGAGAAACCTAGAATAAAGGAAGTATCCAACTTTTCCTCTGCCCTAGTTCAAGGTTCATCCACACATGGAGGGAAAGAAGGGAAAGGCCCAGGCAGACGAGAGTAAAAAAAGTTTATATATTTATAAATGCCAAATAAATACCAGAGGCCACCCAATGCCCGCTCCCAGACAGGGCTGTCTCCCCTAACCCTAGGCTTCTAGGGTCTGAGGCATCTTGGCCCCAAGCTACAGCCCAAGAGCAGCTGCCAGTCTGGGCTACTGGGGAACTGAGTGGGGATGATCTGTCCAGCCAAGACTCATTCCCCCTTGGTGAGGGGCCCCCATAGCCACAGGCCTGTGTCCCTGTATAGGGCCCTAGAGGGGCCAGACTCAGGGGGAGAAGGTGGTCATCTCGAGTGAGACCCGCTGCCACAGCTCCTTGGTCTGTTTGCTGCGCTTGAGATTCTGCAGGATGTCGTTGAACTGCATCATACCCATGGGTGTCAGGCAGAAGGCGCTGCGAGCACTGCGGATGGCATTCACAAAGTCGTCGTAGTCGGCGGGGGTCAGGTGAATCAGGCGGTGGTGGATGTACTGGACGGGGTGAGGAGGATAAGCCACTGAGCACAGGCAGGCCCCTCCCCCTGCCTGCCCAGGGGTTTCGCCCTGCCCCATGCTGCCCAGGTGGTCACCTGCATGTATGCCTGCTGGCAGCGCTGCACCAGCTGGTGGAAGGCCGGGGCACGCAGGTGGTTGTGGGCGTGAGCAGGGCTCAGCCGCTGCAGCGTCTCCATGACGATCTCCTGCAGCACAAACGGGCTCAGCACCCCCTTGGCTGCCCCCACACAGAACTGGTGCACGTAGTTCACTCCTGGGGGGCAGGGGGAGGGGCATGAGACGGGGGTGGCCACCTCTGCCCTAGGGACCCAGCTTTACTCTCTCAGCTCTGGCCTGGCAGAGAGCCTCCCTCCACCCCAGGAGCTGAGGTCACCCCCCACCCCCCGCGCACGCACACATACCCGACCAAGGCCTCAACTCTGAGCAAGAGCTAGGAAGGAGGTCTGGGATAGGAAGGTTGGGGAAGCAGGTGAGGGCGGACAATGGTCCTAGGGAGGGGAGGTGTTACCCAGCTTTGCCGCCAGCCCCAGCAACCATTTGACATCATCAGTGTAGGGAGGGGAGCGAGAGAAGTTGTTGGGGTGATCGTTGTGTGCCCGGCGACCCAGCATCTCCAATGCCAGCATTCCTGGGAGAAAAGGGTGAGACCATGGTGAGGGTCCATCCCCTACCCCTTACCTCAAAACTAAGAGGCAGGGTGGGGAAGGGCCACTAAAGAGCCAGTGGGAGTGCAGAAAGGGGCCTCCTCTCACCGACGCGGTAGGCAGCGTGCAGGTGGTGTAGGCTGTGTGGGTTGACAGGCTGGCTGTGGGTCTCCTCCTCGGGTGGTGGAAAACCCCCGCTCACCAGAGGGCTGGGCTGTGTGGTCAGGGCAGGCAGTGAGGCACCCTGGATGGCTGGAAACGTGGAAGCTGGATGGACACTGCTCACTGGGGGCAGGATGAAAGCCACGTGAGGAACTCAGAGCCCAAAGAGGGACAGAGGATTCCCTCCCCACCGCCCCTGCCCAGCGTGCCACCCCTCCATTCACCTGTTCCCTGTCCCCACAACTCACAGGCCACACTGGTGGGCAGTGGGAGCCCTGGCTCTGTGTGGTAGGGATGTACTGTGATGGGTGCCATGGAAGGGACGGGGAAAGACACAGCAGTGGCAGCAAGTGAGGGGGGAGTCACCGAGTAAGGGTACTGAGCCCCTAGGAATGCAGGATGCACACCCTAGAGGTGGGGAGAAGAAAAGGAAGATAACCAAACTGTGTTAGGATGGAGCTCTGTCCTGTTCATCCCAGACCTGGGCATCCCTGCATTTCTTGGCGTAGTGGGGCTGGTCCCCTGACTACCACCCGCTCACCAGGACTCTGGGACAGCCCTGTCATCCTCCCAGAGTGCCCTCCTCCAACCCCTGTGAACCCCCGGTGGGCTCCCCCACATGCCCAGCCTCCCAGCAGAACACTGGTCTCACCTGTGGGTATGCAGAGCTGGCCACAGGGAAGACGGCAGGCCGGGGCATATGAGGCATGGGGTGGGCGGGGTGAGCTGGGTGGGTGAGGTACTGAGGGCTGCAGGGCAGGTGGGGCTGTAGAGCAGTGTAGGGGTGCAGGCCAGGGGAGTGACCATGCCCCAGTCCTGGACCTGGATATAAGCTGGACCCCACCGAGATGACTGGCACCACCGTGGCTGCTGTCACTGCTGCCGCCGCCACTGTAACCGGCTCAGTCCCTGGGCCCCCCCTGCCCTCAGGCAGCCCCCGCCCAGCCTCCCCAGCTGCCCTGATCCCACTGGCACTACAGCTTGTAGCCCCTTCACGGGCTGTGGATGAGCCACCTGCTGTTTGCTCATATAGCCAGAACCACTGGTGAGCAACCTCAAACAACACTTCGGGGTATACACCCCCACCCTTAGCCGCCTCTTCCACTGCCATGCAGGCCTTCTCCAACATCAGGTTATCCTGAAAGGGAGGGACAAAGAGGGTTAAGGATGAAGGGCTTTACTCGGGGACAGTTTTAGATGACAAATTCTGATGTCTTCAGAGTTGGCTGGTTCTGGGGAGGCAGCCAAGGTCAGAGCCAACGTTCAGAGTCAGTGTCAGAGCAGTGAATGCTTCACATAGACAATGAACAAATCTCTGTTGACCAGTAGAAGTCAAGACCCAGGTTGCCGTCCCAGTTCCAACCTGGTTTAGCTACCCCCAGCCAAGTGCCATCATCTCCCTCAGGCCTTCCCCAAGGACTCCACCCTCAGTGGAGATAATCTAGATAATATACTAGAGATAATCTCTCTAGTATAGGAATAGTCCTATCCTTAAGAGTTGTAAAGGATGTAATGGATATTAAAGCACATTACTATGTCAGCTGTCACCATGAGAGTACCAATCGGATAGTTCATGAATGCCAGGATTGTGAAATCAAGACCTGGGCCATCAGTTTTTTCCATGCCCAACTTTCCTGCCCAGATGTCCCAAAGCAGGTCCCCAATGGCCTATAGAAATACCTGCTCCTTGCACTGCACCAGGGCCCGCTGGATCTCATTGGGGTTCAACGCATGGGCATGAGGCAGGCAGCTTAGGGCGAGTTCCGCCGCTGCCCTCACCATGTTGGAGTCTCGTGCCCGTGATGCCCTGTCAGCCAGGGACGCAACCTCAGGGGGCGTCAGGTGCCCATCCCAGCATTCCACCAGGATAGTCAGGGCTGCACTGCCGATCTCCATTGCCTGGCCTTCAGGAAAAGGAGAGCAGGGCAGAATGTGGTTAACACAGGCAGTGGGAATGTGAATGGCATCTCTCCTACAAGGATAAGGCTCTTATCACCATGCATTAATTTCCTTCCCATACCCAAATCAAAAGATACTGGATTTACCTGTAATCCAGGAAACGTGGGAAGAGTAAGTACGTGAGAGCCAGTTGGGAGAAACAAAGTTGTGCAGGCCAAGGGCATAAAGCCCAATCTCAAAGGCGCAAAGGTGCAGGTTACGGTGAGGACCCTGGTGGCCCCCTGAGGAAGATGGATGTGTGAAAATGGAAGTGCTGCTGTTGCCCCCTGCCTTGATCAGCACTGTCTTCGCCAGCTCGAAGTAGAAGTGTGCAGCTGCCTCTGACGGCTGATTGGGTACATGGGGGGCATGACTCTCGGGACGGCGGCCCTTGTACCTGAAGGGGCAATGGGGTAGGGACGGGGATTGGGGTTTCTCTGAAATGGGTGTCCAGGGGGGCTGGAGAAAACCAGGGTAAGTGAGGACACTGACAGGGACTGGTTGCATTGCCCTAGGGATGTAGCTCCCGGGGTAGGCCCGGGCAGAAGAGAAGGGTATTTATTTCTTCCCACTGACCTGCCAACTTCAACAGTCTTCGCCCGGGCCCCTCCACTAGCACTGGCCCGGCGACTTCCACTGGAGGACGAGGAGCCAAGGGAGTCTGAGGACGAGCTGCTAATGCTGTCACTGTCCTGTCCTCGACCCCAGGAGGTAGGGGCCCAGCCCCCTCGCAGCGGCCTCCTGCTCAAGGTTGGGGAGCTATCCGACGTCGTTTCAGGGGCACTGCTGTCAATGCTGGCCATGCCTAACCCACCAGACAAGTCAGTCTCAGACATCTGCTCCAGGAGTTACACTCCAACCTTCAGGAATATCCTTCCCTCCATGTCATCCCATGGGTTGTCATACCTGTGTGCTTCTTCTTAGGCCGCCCTGGTGAGCCCCAGCCCCGTCCGTTGTAGCCCCCACGGCTGCCAAGTGCCAGGCGGCTGGGAACCTTCCCCTCTGGCCTTGGCGTCAGAGCTGCTTCAGGTGGAAGACCCTCACAGGGGGAATGTGGGGAACTCTCTACATCGGGAAAATAGGACACCGGGATGAGCCTGGGAAAGGGGAACCCAACATGGCTCCAG